CGATGGCCGATTGCCCCTCCTGGGGCCAGGCCTCAGGACCTGGTTCGGGCCGGTGTTAGAGCGTGCCGTTGTTTCTCGTTGGTTTCGTTGTTTAGCTCTGAGAGGGAGAGTGGCAGCAGAAACGAACAAGCAGGAGCGAAGGCAGCAGGGAAGACAAGTAATGCTAAAAACCGTAAAACCAATGATGGTCCACAGCGACGGGCTTAACAACGCCCAAAACAGACCTAGCTAAGATCGCTGCAACATCGTCGCGTTTGTTTGGTGTATTGAAGCTTGTCGGGAGCCCGAGACGCAAAATGACAATATAACCAAAAACGCTATGGCTTTCATCTAGATGTAAAGATATATCCATATATATATATATATATCTGTATACATATATATATATATATGTATATAGACAGCAATCCTCCTTCTCCTTCTCCTCGTGCTCGCCGCACCTGCTTCTGAGAATGGCTCTTCTGACCGAGGCGGCAGGACTGCGAGTGGGGCGTGTGGTCCGAGTGGGGCCAGTGCTCCGTCACCTGCGGCGGAGGACAGAGGCCCCCGGGCACCACAAGGGGGGGAGTAGGAGGACGGTGGGGAGGGAGGAGCTATGAGCAATCAACAACGGCACGAGGATCGAATCTCCACTCCGAACACCACGCCTGACATCTGGGGGCCCATCCGAATCGGGGCTCGCACCGTCTGGATCTGTCTATAGCTCATACGAGCTGTCAGCGTCGGAGGTGTGCAGTCGTGCAAACGTGCAGGCCCAGTCAGCACCACGTGGGCTCGCGCACAAGGGCACCAGGAGGGAGGAGGATGAGAAGGAGGAGGAGGAGGAGGAAGAAGAAGAAGAAGAAGGAGGAGGAGGAGGAGGAGGAGAAGGAGGAGGAGGAGAAGAAGGAGGAGGAGGAGAAGGAGGAGGAGGAGGAAGAAGAAGAAGAAGAACAGGACGACGAGTTGTTCTCCAGTGTCTTCGGCAGTCCGCGACCACATGGAGAGAGGGATCAGGGCAGGGAGAGGGAAGGACAACCTCACTTCTGGGAGCGTTGGCCGCCCCGCGAACCCCGAGCCGCGGCAAAGGCGGTGTCTCTGCCGCGGATGCGCCTGGGTGCCAACCTTTCGCCGATTTCGACAAGGCCTTACACCTGGCTTGCGACAATCGGTTGGGCCATCTTGTAAGCGGGTTGCGGCTGTGCCCTGTTCATGCACGGCCGCACGTGGTACAAGCCCAGCCCTACACGTGCTCGACCACCGGAAGTGGTGGTCAGCGACAGCCTCCCAGCCATTGACCTCTACACGCGTATCTCTCGAGGGGCGTCCCGGGTGCGCTGCACGGCAGGGAGTTCAGAGCCAGCTCCGCATGTCAGATTTCAGTGGCAGTTGGCCGTCCGTTTTTCCAGCTCTCGGCCCTCGTGTGGCCAAGCACAGTGATTCTCCCCATGAGTATCCAGCGCGGTGGCCTGCAGATGGTCCACATGTGAATCCAGCCACGTGCGTTGTCCAGCTTCCTGCTGCCCGTGCAGGTGAGAAGGCCTGGGGGTGCGATCTCGACTCTTGTCTGGCTGCTGCTCCCGCGGGGTGGAACTATGCTCGGGAGGGGGGGGTCCTTCGGCACCAGTCAGCGATGTGCTGCTCTCCATGCGCACCAGCACCAAGGACTTCCTCTTCCTCTTCCTCTTCCTCCTCGTCTTCTTCTAACTTTTATCGTGTGGCTTGCACTGCATGTGTCCAGACAGGCCAGATTCCTGAGGCCGCGGCCTCACCCACCTGGTCTGAGCTAGGCCCAGACGCTGCCCGCACTGGTGGTCGCATCGCATCGCGCCGCAGTTGTGTGCTGTTGCCCGTCCTTGCAGGGTGGGCCCTTTCCTGTTCTGTGCGCTTCAGCTTCGGCTTCGGCTTCAGCTGTGGTGCGCTTTGAAGCGCCTTCGGACCAGCCCACCCGAGCTGGGTTTCCACTTGCACGAGTGCCTTCCCTCCCTTATGTGACAGTTCGAGATGTAAAGATGTGCGGGGCAGCGGAGCCAAACAAGGCCACTGGAGTCAAAGTCCGCACTGAATGCGAGAGCCATGGCCAGTGAGGCGGGACGTCATCGGAGTCCACGCAGGAAGCCAAGCCATCGGCGGCCAGGCGCTTACAAGAGAGTGCGACAGGCAGACAGCCAGCAAGGCTGGAATACATACGAGTCCATGCAGGGGGGGGCAAGCCGCAAAAGAAACTACACAGACGCCAACAAGGGCGGCATAATTCATTGGATGTTTCTTGGGTGGAAGAGGAGGAGGAGGACGAGGAGGAGGAGGAAGAGGAGGAGGAGGAGGGGGATTAGGGGAGGGGGAGGAGGAGGAGGAGGAGGAGGAGGAGGAGGAGGAGGAGGAGGAGGAGGGCGAGGAGGAGGAGCAGAAGGAGGAGGAGGAGGAGGAGGAGGAGGAGCGGCGGAGCGGTATAATCTATCGGATTGTCCACATTGGAGGCCGAGCCGCATGAGTCAAAGCGGCCGAGCAGTGCGACGACTCGGGCCAGCGGTGCGCGAATCCGCCACGCCAGACAGCTTCGGTGGCAACCCATGGGATCCTTGTATAACCTCGCAACTCCGTCTTCAGAGTGCACTATCGACGATCAGCGTCTGGAAATCGATGAAGCAGCGCTGATGCAGCACCGATTGGCGTCGATAAGCGTCGGTAAGCGTCGACTGACGCCGATTAGCGTCGATACGCGAGCGTCAGCAAGATTGTATGGGAGGCTCCCATGAGTTGCCACCGAAGACAGTCAAGACGCTGAAACAAGAACCTGTGGGGAAAAAACACACTGTGGGAAAAAACACACACACACACACAACAACACACTGTGGGGAAAAAAACACACTGTGGGGGGGAAAAACAACACACACACACCCAGACACAGACACAGACACAGACACAGACACAGGCACAGGCACACACACACACACACACCACACACAGTCTGTGTTTTTCTCCCACAGTGTGTTTTTCCCCTAGGGCTCAGGAGGGTCACTGGTCTTCGGCCCGTCCCTGGAACCCTATGGCGTGGGACATGTTTTGTGGCCCAGGCCCACCGTGGCCAGAAAAGCCGCTTGATTCATGATTGTGTGTGTGTGTTCCTTATGGGGGGAGGGGGGGGGGGCAGCAAGATCTTCGGCACCGCCTGTACTCTGCACCCTCCGGCCGCCTGAGGCCCCGCCCGCCCGCGCCCTGTCCCCCAAATTAGGGCTTCGCGCGCCCCGCCTAGCTCTCAACCGGAAGGGGCCCGCTCCCGACCCGCCGAGCAAAAAAATGTGTTCCTTATGGTCGCGCAGGTGCTGCAGGAGTCCCAGCCCCCACTGGAAAGTGTGACCAGCAGGTCCAGCGGGGCAGGACGGGGAGCCGGAGGAGTCCTACGGTACCTACGATGCAGAAGCCAGGCCTCACGCGTCCCAGCGCGCAGCGAGCAGTGCGGCGGGCATGGCCGTTCAGGCGGGAAGCCACAGAAGTTCATGGGGGGGAACCACGCTCCATGTGCTTGCGCGCGCAGCGAATCTCTGCGACAGCAGCCACGGCCGGCGAATCGTTGCGGGAAGCCGCCTGGGTCCATAGGTGAGGCCAAGCCAGAGGAGAGCAAACGCCGACTAGAAGGCGAGGCAACCAGGGCCGACGATGTCAAAAGCCAGATGGATTGCTCCAGATTTCATAATAAAGGGAGGGGGGTCTCATTTCGGGGGGGGGTCTCTTCCAGGCTATCTTGGAGGGCCTGTAGGGTCTGGGGACGATGTTTTGGAGGGTTCTCCCACGGGGGAGGTCTGAAGTGGCTTGTCTTGGAGGGTCCAGACCCCCTCCCTTTTATTACGAAATCTGGGGTAACGAAGGAAGCCACGCCACACGAGCTCGAAGCGCCCACGGGGCGAAGGCGACACGCGGGACCGCTCCAAACACACCGCAGCCGTGACACCCTCGAGTGCAGGTGCTGTCCGGGCAGCATTACGTCGGGCCTCTTCCTCTCCACAGGAGGAACGCTCAGAAATAGTGAATAAATACACCTTATGCGATGCTTAAGAAAACCTAAGTTTTCGGCCATAATGTCGATTATACTTAACGTTTCAGTGTAAATCCCAAGATTTGAATAGACATTCTGGGTTTTCATTCAGATTCTGAGACTATGAATTTCTTAACCCATGATTTCTAAAGCATTTCGCAGGGTGTAGTCTGGGGGCGACCTTTTGATTCCCCGATCAGCGTTTGCACCGAAGGGGTCCTAGTGGAAGTTGAAAGATTTGGCGAACGTTTCCCGCCGATTTTGGTAACAGGCTGGGTTCCTGGGTTCCCGGTTCCGGGTTCCCGGGTTCCTGGGGTCCCGGTTATCGGCTCCGGGCCGATCTCGGTAGGTTCTGGGTTCCCAGGTTCCCAGGTTCCCAGTCGATCTCTTTATCGATCTCTTCATCGATCCCACGATTCATTATCGATCTCAGGATCGATCTCACGATTCATCTCACTCAATCGATCTCACCATCGATCTCATCAAACCATCCACTGATTGGGGTTTGTCTCTGGTGTAATTGGATTTGCTTTGGGCGGCTATTGTCGACTATTTTTATTTGTCGTCCAACATCCGCCTGTAGGGGGACACGCCCGACCGAAGGTTAGCAACCTCTAGAACATAATCCTTCGGCGGCGACGGCGACGACGACGAGCAGCAGGAGAAGGAGGTCGAGCCTGGGCCAGAGCGTCAGGGTGGGCAGAAGCAGGAGTTGGTGCAGGAGGTGGAGGAGGGAGTGAAGGACTTCGGGGACGAGGGAGAGGAGAAGGAGGGGGAGGTGCGGGAGTTAGAAGGTGGGGGGGGAGGATGGCGGATGGCTGTGGGACACGGCCTGACACAGGTGGAACTAGCATGGTGAGGTAAGATGGGGAAGGAGGAGGGATGGACAGCTAGGATGATGGAGGATGGCGGATGAGGAGGATGAGCAAATACAGGCGAGGATGCGGGTGGGGTGTGAATACTAAAGAGGATCAGGAGGGGGATGGCAAGCAATATTAGGAGGAGAATGAAGAGGGCGAGCTGGCAGGAGGATCACGAGGAGGGAGGAGGAGGAGGAGGAGGAGGAGGAGGAGGAGGAGGAGGGACAGGAAGCGGAGAAACATTCGCAGGATGTGCAGGCAGGCAGGCGAGATGAGCCAGTACGAGCTAGACGAGCTGCGTGAAGCGTTAACGTCGAGTGCGCCAGGCGTGCCCAGGGTATTCATCGATGACCTTCGCCAAGCGGGGTGTGGCCGCGTGACTGTGGGCCAACAGCGTTAGGCCGGCGTCAGGCAGGGACTGTCGTCAGAGTACAGGCAAGCGAGCTGCATGCACATGGCGCGGCCTGGGCGAGAGATGCATACACTCACCACCCACCAAACCACCCCAACCCAACCCGAAGGCTCAGATTTGCCCTCGATTTCTAGTGGGGGGGGGGTCGGTAAACATCGGAAACAAAAACATATGTGGAACCCTTACCCCCCCCCACCCGAAATTCGGGTCTTCGGGTTGGGTTGGGGTGGTCTGGTAGGTAGTCATACACGCATGCTGCCCGGTGTCCTTCCTGCGCTCGGTCCTGCCGTGGCCAGGGACGCTGGAGGCCCGCACACGCATGCGGCGCGTGGCCTCCGGAGGTCCCGCACGGCAGTCCAGCCATGTGCGCTTCCAGCGCCCTGGCAGGCAGGGGCGCACCCGCTCTTTGGTACCGAAGGAATAATGATGATAATGATGATAATGATGATGATACTCATCTTTATCATCATAATCATAATTATCATCATCATCATCATCATCATCAGCATCAGCATCAGCATCAGCATCATCATCATCATCATCATCATCATCATCATCATCATCATCATCATCATCATCATCATCATCATCATCATCATTTTCATCATTATCATCATTATCATCATTATCATCATTATCATCAGTATCATCATTATTATCATGTTCATCATTATCATCATCATCGTCCTTTTCATCATTATCATCATCATTATTGTTCCGCAGCCAGCGTCCATGAGATGGTCGGCAAGCAGGTGGCGAGATTTTGGTTTCGGGCGTCACGGCATTCCCTCGAAAGGGTGCGGAGCGCTCGTTCGGACATCCGCCGGGCAAGCTATTCCGCTCGGTGGGCTGTCGTCCCCTGATGTTCAGACGATGGTGGGTCGTTTCCCGGCTGCGCTGTCAAGTGATGTATGTCTCTTTCTCCTCCCTCACATCTTCCTGTCTTTCCTCTCCCCCACAGACTCCCCCTCCTGATCATTACACTCTTCTCCTCCATTTCCTCCTTCATGCTGCTGCTGCTGCTGCTGCTCCCCATGCCAGCTGCCCCTCCCCATTGTCCTGCTACAGCAGGCTCGTCAAAGAAGAAACTGGCCTGCCAATAGGTGCCCCAAAGAACAGGATTAGCCCACCGCAGTTGCTGATAAGGATGGGGGAGCGCCGCGGTTTGCGTTGATCTTGCTTATGAAGGCAATGTGGATGGGTCGCAGTCGGGCTACGGGTGCGTCACGGGTGGGGCGGCCTGCGGGGCGAGACGACAACACAACACAATCAAACAGCAGCCCGCACTCCGGACACCCATTCCGGCCACGTGCCCAGAGACGGTGCAACACTGCTTGATCCGCTCACTCTGGACTTAGGCACTGGCGGCTCAGAGGAGATCCGGGGCACATTGTGACCGATCTTTCAGATCGATGCGAACTGCCCCACCGAGCTGCACGTATCATAGCACGATCTCTTCTGGTACGTGTCTACGCCCTCCAGCTCTGCAGTGGGCATGTTGGTAACCTCACGTCGCCATGTGTCGCTCGGGGCCCACGTTTCGCCTTTTTTCATCAGCCGCGATGCCACGATGCGAAATCATCAGCACCCCGCCCTCCAATCGCGCATTCTTAGTATCCTTCCTCCTCATCGCTGATTTGCTTGTGGCGCCGGTGATCTGAGAGGCCTCCCTCGCGCCAGGTCCCGCAACCGCTCTGTCGTGAGCCCACCAAGCGGCGGCGGCAGCACATGCACAGCCAACGACAGGGAGGAGGCGACCGCGCGGGGTGAGGAGATGGGCAAGGGCAGGAGGGCGGGACAGCGAGGGGGAGGAAGTATGAGGAGAAGAAGGAGGACTAGCGGAAGGCCATGATGCATCGGCGATGTTGCAAAACGCCCGCCCGTCCCAACCCCCCTTTCGCACAAGCTCCTAAAAGAAGCCTATCTACTGGGGGAAGTGCGAACTTGCAAGACGAGCGCACCATGCTTGTCCTGCACTTCAGGCGAGAGCCCCGTTTTGGAAATGCGCCACGTTTTGGACATAAGCTCCACACGCTTCAAACGTGTGGCGATTGAGCCTAAGGCAGTCTTCAGCGCGAGCCCCGACTGAAGAAGGAGCCCCCCTCCCGCCGTGCAATGTTTGCACACTTTAAGCTCTCGGCTTATAAATGTACAAGAACTTTCAAATTAACGTTGAATTTGGACAAAAAAACCGCCAACCGCCCTCCATCTGTGTGACTCGACGCGGCGCAAAAGCGAGAGCCTCATGTCGAGAACATGCGCCCTCCATATGGAAAACAACGCTTCGAGTGTTTAAGACGTCTGGGCGCGGAGCTAGGGTGAAAGCAGCACTTTCAAAACAAGTCGCCCTCCATCCATGTAGTAACTGCTGGCTTGTTGTGTGAAGCGAAAGTTCACGGCGCGCTCGCTCTAGGTGAAACGCTTGTACGCCCCAGCGCCTAACTACGCAGTGGGGCACAATATGTAACTGATATCGCTGCTGATGTTCCCTGCCCCCATCACCTCCCTTTCCGCCGCAGCCGGACTTGACGCAGCAGTGCCTTCGACCCCAGCCCCGGCTAGACGACGAGGGTCCGAAAGAGCCCCGAGAGGCCACAAGAAGGCCCCTCAAACAGTCCCCCACAGTACCATACCAGAGTCTCCTGGTATCATACTGTGTGGGGCCTTCTTGGAACCCTCTTGGAGCCCTCTCGGGACCCTCTTGAAGGCCTCTGCAGTTTCGGCCCCAGGAGGTCCTACGAGAAACTCAATCAGGAGGGGAAGCAACACACAGACACAATGAATCGTCGATTCCCAAGAAAATATGGCAAAATATGGGCAGCGGGGGGGGAAGACACAAGCTTTGAAAATACAGGAAGATATGGGGAATCCTGTTACTGGTGTGTAATTATTTGTGTGTCCCAGGACCCCTTCACTCAAGGCACACCAAGCGGGAAAGAGCCCCGAGAGGACGCCGCAAACAGACCCCAACTCTGTGTCACACCGGGGGCCCTTTGGGGCCCGCTTGTGGGTTCCGGTGTTTTTTTCCTTGGACTCTTTCGACGGTACTTCTCACTGGGATTCACTGGCTCGTGGGATTCTTTATCGATTTTTCTAGAGTTTTTCTGGATTTTGTTCTGGGATTCATTGGCTCGTGGGCTGTGTCCGCGGCCTCGGGGCAGCATGCACCGGGCCAAGCAGACGAGCCCAGACCAGGTTAAGCATGTCAATTTGATCGCCCAAACTCCAATGCAGCAAAAGTTGTTCAGGAGGGGAAAAAAGCACACAGACACAATTCATCGTCGATTCTCCAGAAAATATGGGAAACATGGGAAGTGGGGGGGAAGACGAAAACCCAGAAAATATAGGACAAGATTGGGAATACTGTTATTTGTGTGTATTTATTTGTGTGTCCTCGGGCCCCTTTACAAACTCCAATGCAACACAAGTTGTTTTGCTATGGATGGGCCGCAAGTGAACAGACTAGACAGACAAGACCTGCCATTCGGACCACCTGGAACAAGCAGACTGGCCAGACCAGCTGGTCAGACCAGCCAGGTGGACCACCCACACCAGCCAGGTACACCAACCAGACCAACCAGACCAGCCAGCCGTTCAGCTCAGGGAAGCCCGGAACAGACTGAGCAGGTCAACCTGCAGGGACCAAGCAGACAAGCCCAGACCAAGCTAAACAGATGAGCCTGACTGGACCAAGTAGATAAGCCAGACCAGCCAGTCTGACCAGCCAGACCGCCAGACCAGCCGGACCAGCCAGCCAGACCAGCCAGCCAGACCAGCCAGCCAGAAGGCGCCACTGCAGCACAAACAAAAATCAATGCAGAAAAAGCTGCTTTTTACATAAAGGCTGCAATGCAAAAAACAAGGTTTTGGTGTCGTCATCGCCGATGTGTGCACTTTCACCCTCCTGAGCCTCCCCAGACCACACCTGGCTTCCACGTGGAGTCCCAAGCTCAAGTCCTAGCAGCGCCACTACAGTGCAACAAATGACGCAATGAAGAACAAAGGAGCCGCACTGCAAAGCACAAATCAACGCAGACAAACTGCAATTAAAAACACAAGCGGCAATGCAACACAAACTGGATTCGTGTATGGTCGCCGGCATGTGCGCTTCAACCCTGCCTGAACCTCTCCAAACCACGCTCTGCTCGCACGCAGCGCCAACAATTGCCGTGTCAAAGAGCACTGCAATGCAGAGACCATCTGCAATGCAAGCAACATGTTGTCGTGTGGTTGTCGCCGACATGTGCTTCAATCCTCCCTGAACCTCCCCAAAAACCACGCTTGGCTCTCACTCGGAATCCCAAGCCCAAGCTCGAGCTGCGCCTCTGCAGCGCAAACAAAATTTGCAGCGCAGCGAAATGCAATGCAAACCACACTACAAATCAAGCCAGAACTGCTTTCGTGTAGTAGTCGTCGGCATGTGCGCTGCAACCCGCCCTGGCACTCCCCAAGCACGCTTGGCTCCCACGCGGACTCCTAAGTTCAAGCTCGACGAGGGCCACTATAGCGCAAAACGAGTTATTGCAATGCAAACAAAACTGCAATGCAGAAAATCATGCTTTCGCTTGATGGTCGCCGACGTGTGCGCGTCAACCCGCCCTGAACCTCCACAGACCACGATTGGCTTCCACGCGGAATCCTGAGCTCAAGCTCGAGCAGCGCCACTGCAGCGCAACACATTGACTGCAGTGGAAGAACAACTGCACTGCAGAACAAAAGCGTCATGGCGTGGTAGTCGCCGACGTGTGCGCGTCAACCCGCCCTGAACCTCCACAGACCACGATTGGCTTCCACGCGGAATCCTGAGCTCAAGCTCGAGCAGCGCCACTGCAGCGCAACACATTGACTGCAGTGGAAGAACAACTGCACTGCAGAACAAAAGCGTCATGGCGTGGTAGTCGCCGACGTGTGCGCGTCAACCCTCCCTGAACCTCCACAAACCACGCTTGGCTCTCACGCGGAATCCTCAGCTCAAGCTCGAGCAGCTAAGGTGAAGCTTGAGTCTCAAGCTTTACTGTTTGAAGCGTGGCGTCCCGCCGTGCGCTGCAACGGGTACGAGAGGCACGAAGCCATCACAAACCAGCCGTGTAACGTGTGTTGAGGGCTCGCGACAACTTGCAATCACCTGCACGTTGCCGTGACGTTCGGGCCAACCCATAGATCCAGAGCGCGCATACACTGCGAAGACCTCACGGCCGGAGCCGCCGACCCTGAAGGGGAACGACGACAACGACGGCGGCGGTGACGACGACGCTGACGTGGGTCAGAGTCCTCATGGATGCTTCTTGGGGTCTCTTCGAAGCGCTCTCAGGGGCCTTGGGAGGACAGTTTAGGGGCATCTTGGGAGCCTCGTGGGGCCTCTTGGGGGCCTCCCGGGGGCCTCGTGGGGGCCTCCTGGGGGCCTCTTGGGGGCCTCTTGGGGGCCTCTTGCGGGCCTCTTGGGAGACTCCTGGGAGCCTCTCGGGGCCGATGGCTCGAAATGTCCGTTCTGGTCCCTCGTATGGGCACTCTCTTGGAGCCGTCTTGGGGGCCGCTTGGGCCGTCTTGGAGGCGTCGTGGCAAGGGCGCCCTCGAGGGCGCGAAGTTATTCGCGCTTCGCGCAGCGCGAAGCGCGAAGTCGGGAGCCCTTGCTTTGGCCGTCTTGGGGCCCTTGGGGCGATCTGGCGGCCCTCTTGGACGTCCTGGAGCGCCGGGAAGCGGAAGGTGCGAGAGCGCCGAAATGCTTCAAACACCAACGGGGAATCCGTAATTTTTCCAGTTGGGGCCATTTTGGAAGTGCTCCTGGAGGCCTCTTGGGGCGTTGTGCAGGGCTCCTGGGGCCGTCAAGGCGTCTTGGACTGATCTTTCGGCGATTCAGGGCCCTCTTGGACCGTCTTACGGGACTCTTGGGGCACTGTTGGCACGTCTTGGGGCTTTTTTGGGGCCCGGGGACCCCCAGGTGGGATTCGTATCTGACCCGGGACCCCCCCCCAGGACCCCCACGGGGGGGGAGTCGTATCTGACCCGGGACCCCCCCCCTCCTGGCGGGGGAGGGATCAAAGGGAAGGGGTTTCCCTTTGAGGCAATTACGGAGTCGCTCAACTTCGCTTTGGCTGGCGCGCTTGAGGAGGAGGGCCTATGGAAGAGGGGGGGAGCGGCGACGGGCCCAGCGCTTGAGGAGGAGGGCCCAGGGAACGGGGGAGAGCGGCGACGGGCCCAGGGAGAGGGTGAGCGCAGCGACAGAGAAGACGACTAGCGAATGACGGAGACGACGACTCGAACGAACGAGCCCCTCACACACGCCGACAGGGTCGGCGAATTTCGACGAGGACGCGGGTGGAATGTTGGGGAGGAGGGAGGAGGGACACGAGGAGGAGGGGGAGGAAAAGGAGGAACGACGAGCGGTGCCCGTTGCGTTTCCGTTGTATGTGCAGGCGCAGGCAAAGACCGGCATGGACAAACCTATCAGTTGTTGTTATTTTCTTCTGTCCTTTTTTCCTCCCCCTTCCCCCGTCATCAACATCGCTGCCATTGCTCTTCTTTCCCGTTCGCCAGCTATTTTCGCTCCTCGTCGTCTTCGTCGTCGTAACGGTACCCCTGCAGGTTCTGAGCAGCAACGTGTGCCCACTTTTCGCTTTCTCCCGATGAAGCTAGTAATGACTTAATGTGGCAGCGAATCGTCCGTGTGTGACCTCTCTGTTGCCTACGAATCGTATGTGACCACCAGGGCGCTCGCTCAGGCCTCCCACCCTGTCGGGACAAGCATTACATGGGGGTCGCTGGAGCAGGCTCCACGGTGCAGCTCCCGCCTGACACTGTGGAACAAACAGCAGTGCGCACCGTAGTGGCCACGCCGTGGGCCTCCCAGTGGGCACCGTAGTGGACACTGGCCGCTCGCGCCGCGGAGCGAGCCGCAGGGCGCGGGTTTCCTTCTGTCCCGTCGTTGCACTCAGCGCGGAGCTAGGATCAACGTCGGCAGCGGCTAGGGGCACGTATTCTTGGGCCGCCTGCGAGGATGGGCGCGGCTATGGTCGCCTCATGAATTTTCCCTTCGTCGAGCCGAGCTGGCGTCTCCCCGTTTAGTCCAGTCTGTTCGCCGTGCTTCTGCCGTGCGTGCGCGCGCTCGGGAGCCTGCTTCCACGCACTGTGGTGGGGCACGTGTTGGGGCGCTCTTTACGGGCGACTGCGCCCCTCGTTGGGGTCGCCCGTCTGTGACGCGCGAGTTGGCGCCCGCCAGCTGCTGTAGCTTCGCAGTTTCGTGGGCTGTGTGCGGGAAGAGTTACGGGGTGTTGCGCTGCCCCCTCAGTATTCGTTGCGCTACAAAGCGGTCCCACGGTGATCGTCCTTTGTCATGCGATTCCTATAGGCTGACGCCATATCCGCCGACCCCTATATAAACTATTGCGCCTCCAGGGCTGGATTTCACGAGGCTTGACCGAATCACGACACGGCGCTCGACATCGTTCCTGTTGCTTCGTTGTTCTTATCGTACCTCTTGGTGCTCTTTAGTGGCCTGTTGGTGGCATCTTGGCTTGTCTGCAGGCCATGTCTGGCCGCCTCGAGGCATCTCGGGCCAAGTTTGGGGGCCTCTTGGGGGCTTCCTGGGGGCTTCTCGGAGGCCTTTGAGGTTCTCTTGGGGGTCTCTCAGGGCCTCTTGGGGTGTTCTTGGGGCAGGCTGGGGGCGTCTTGGGGCCGAAGGCTCAAAAAGGTGCCCTCTGGACTCGCTCTTGGAGCCGTCTGGGGGCCCTCTTGGGCTGTCTTGGGGGCTTAGTGGGCTGTTATTTGGACCCTCTTCGACCCCTCTTAGGGGCCCCTTCGGCTGTCCGGGAGCGATATTGAAGGTTTCTTTGCCCGTCTTGGACGTTGTGATAGCCGAAAAGGCGAGTCTGCGAAACATGTTTTTTTTCCACGGGAATAGTTCGATTTCTGTTTCTTTTGACCCTCTTTGGAGGCATCTAGGGGGCCTTTTGGGGCGTCTTGGCAGCTCTGGAGCCCGTCTGGAGGCCATCGTGGGCGTCAAGAAGCGATATTTCGACGACTCGTGGCCCTCTGGGACCGTCTGGGGAGCGTTTTCGTGCCTTCTTGGCCCGTTTTGGAGCCCCCCGCTCCCCCATGACGCGTTCGGTCCGGGGTCGCGCCGGGCCAGGGGGTGGGGGTCAAATTGCCAGTTTGGGGCCCCTGTGGGGGGATCATGGGGGGGATCATCTCTGTACAGTTTTTTCTCACATATGCCCTTGAGACACTCTAAGAGTACCCCTCGGCAACAAAAAATCTCGCGACCTGTCAGCCGTTGCCCTAGCTGCAGTGGCTCGGCGCGGGCGACGCCGAGGTTACCAGGATGTCGATTCTTTGGGGGTATCGGTGGCGGGCTCTTTGTCGTCGTTTTGCCAGCGCGCGAAATCCTTGAGAAGTAACATTCGTGGGCACCTCTGCGAGCCTGGCAGCCCGTTTTCCTCGCCAGTGTTCATGACATGTTGAAAGTCGCATCCTATCTGTCATTGCAGGAAGTTTGTAGGACGAATTCGCGCGGCGCCAGTGCGAGATTCACATGGTGACCCTGCACTACCTCCGTCCGTATAATTGATAGAAGAGTTTAAAGCGAATGTGCGCAACGCTTGGGCGAGGGCCGTATTTTGAAGAACCGCCCTCAATCCGTGTTGTAATTGTTGGCAGCTTTGAGACGAATGTGCACGATGATCAGGCGATATCTACATGTTGACCCCCGCTTCCGTTCGTGTAACTGCTAGAAGAGCTTAAGAATAATGTGCGGCGCCCAGGCGAAAGCCACACTTCGCGAAAACGACCCCCCCCCTACTCGTGTGGCCATTGGAGATTGCAAGCCTCGGAGTCATACGCGGAGAGGGGGGAGGAGTTTCCGGCGAATCGCCGGGCCCGCTCTACCGACACGCCTGGCGGTGAGACGAGGACGAGATGTCCAGCTGCCTGCGGCAAGTCCCGCCGCAGCCCGGTGCTCAAGGAAGCAATTATCCAAGGGGGCGGCAGAGGCTGGTCGCATGTGAGCCGAACCGCGCTAATGTGTGCGTTGGCGGTCGGGGCAACGGTCAGAACAACGTCACACGTCAGAGTTCGGCCGCTGTGAGTATATGTTGGGTCATTCGAGGTCGTGTCTTGGGGCGGACTAGGAGGATGAACGAGGCTAAGATGAGGCTGGGGGGAGGGAGGATGAGAAGGAGGTGAACCAGGCTGAGGAGGAGGAACAGAGGAGGAGCGTCGTGGCGGACGAGTACGGTGTGGAAAACCATGATGGTGATGAGGTTGAGGAGAAGGACGAGGTCCATGAGGTGGACGAGAAGGAAGAGGAAGGCCGTCGCATGTGAATTTTTCGTTGCAATTTCTTGAGTATGAGCAGCCTTGGGACCCGCATGGGCCGTCTTGAGGCTCTCTTGAGCTGTCATGGCGCCCTGTTGGCAGCCTGGGAAGCCTCTCGAGGCCGACGTGGAGCCGTCTTGTGGCCGTCTTGGGCCGTCGAGCGGTCCTTCTCTTGGGCCGTTTCTTGGGCCGTCTGGGGGCTCTCTTGGCTGTCGTCTTGGGATCGTCGCAGAGCCGTCGCGGCACGGACTTGAGCCGTCGCAAGGCCCGCGGAGGCCGTCTTGGGTCCCCCGTGGGCCAGCTTTGGGCCGCCCTGGGCCGCAGTGTTGGAGGATTATTGGGCTGGCCTCCGGCCAGTGCCGCCGATCCGGGGGTGGTGAGACTTGGGGACGTCTTGGAGGTTTCTGGAACTGTCTTCGGGGCATCTTGGGCGGTTCGAGCGATGTTTCGGCGATTCGGGGCCCTCTTGCATTGTCTAGGGGGCCTCTGGGGCCTCTCTTGGCTTCCTCTTGGGCTGTCTTGGGCGGTCGGGGCTCCGGAAGTAGAGTTTTCTATACCCCCCTGTCCCCGGGTACCGAAAAACGTCGGAAATGACGTCGGAAATATCCCCGTGTACCGAAAAACGTCGGAAATGACGTCGGAAATAACGTACCTCCCCCCCCTGCAGAGCGAAGCTTGAGCGAGCTGAAGTCCACGCTCTCAGAAACTCACACGCCGGATCGGCGGATTTGGCCGATTGGGAGCTTTCTCGCTCGTCGTCGGAGGAAAAGGTTCCCATACCACTACCCGTCGCCTTTTTTTGTTGTTTGCCTCCTGGGAGGCCCTCGTCGCCACGGCGGGATTCGCTTCGAAGTTTTGGTCAGAACGCACACCGGGAGAGGTCCAGGGAGTGGCGGTAACCTTGTGGTCTCCCCCAGTCTGCCGTTTGGGAGCTTGCTTGGGCCGTTTGGGGCTGCAGGGATCCCGAAAGGAGGAAGACGCCCAATGCCTGTGGTAAACTTCGGGGGGGGTCCGATTTCGGCCGCCTCGGGCCCTACTTGTGGGCCGTCTTGGGGGGCCCGTGGGCCGTCTTCAGGCCATCCTGGGCCAGCTTGGAGCCTCTTGGGCTGTCCTGAAAGCGTATTGTGCCGTCTTGGTGGCCGTCTTGGAAGCCCAGGAGCGCGGACCCAGTGTCTTAAGCAAGGGATCGTGGCTTCAGGGGCGCGGGCCCGTAGCTTTTACATGGGATCGTGGCTACGTGAGCGCGGATGCATCGTTGTTTAGCACGGATCGTGGAAGCGGGAACGCGGGCCCGTCGTTTTTTGTACGAGTGGTCGTGGCCTCGGGAGGGGGGCGATGCATGCAGAACTCCGCGTTAACAGGGGGGGAGCTCAGCATATGGCAGAAGCCCTGCCAGGCAGCAGGCATTCTGCCACGCCTAAACGTGCCAGGAAGCAAGTCTGCGAATCAATCTACGAGGAAACGAAGTTCACCAGGGTCCGTGTCCAACTTGCTCCTTTTCCAGCGGAGCTGACAGCCGAGGTTGAGCAACGGAAATCTCACCCGCCTGGACACACACACACACACACACGAGTCCAGTGTAGGATTGATCTGATGCGCCGCCGCCCCTATCTGGCGGGCGGCGGCCTGGGGGAGATGGACCGTGCCCATTATACCATCAGGAAGTCAGCAATTGACCATGCTTTCTGCGCGGCACATGGAACAGCAAAAACGCAGGCCTTCCGATCAAACCAGCGCAGCACACAGAATGGGCTCGATGCGTCCCTGGGGGGGCGGGCTGATTACGTCATGCTTCGTCAGGAACGAAGTTGATGGAAAGACAGAGGACCAGCCTGACCACAAGCGCTACACATCCCAGCAACGGCGTCCCACGACAGGCTGGTCCACCATGACAGCCCAGTCACAGGGCTGAGCTTTCAAGCCACCCTAGTCGCAAATTGACCCGCAGGCCAGGCGTGCGCGCGTGTCGAGCAGCAAAGTTCACTTGGTGACACAGGTTATGGTCTGAAGTGGTGTGCTTCGCAGCACTGCTGCTGTCTACGCATGCCTATCGTTTCTTCGCTTCGGTTGTTCAGAGGGTGCCCCCCGAGGTGGGCCCCTGCAACACGAAGGCCTGCACCGACGTGACCAGCTGCATCGACGGCAGGCGGTCTCTTCCGATTGTGCGATTCCGCTCGTTGTTGCTTGATGCATTTATCCTAGAGGCCGGCGCCATTCCGCCGACCCCCAGGAGAGGACGTGTGCGCTTCCGAGATCGTCCCGTCGTGCTGCCCGCGTGCAGCTGCTGCTCATTCGGCCTCGTCTTCCTCCACGTCTCTTGCAGGGGGGGTATCTTGGGGGCCTCTTGGAGGCCCACTGGGGGTGGCCTCTTGGAGCCTCTTGGAGCCTGCTCAAGGCTCCTTGGGACTTGGGGAGCCCACCGGGGGCTTCTTGGGGGGCCCCCAGGGGGGGCAGGGCCTCGCGGGCTGTCTCTTGGGGCAGCGCTCCCAGGGGCCCTGCGAGTGCCCCCTCTTTTAGGGCCTCTCTCTTGCGGGCCTCTCTGGTCCTCTCGGGGGCCTCCTGGGCAGCCTCGGGGCCCTCCAGGGCCGCCCCTGGGCCCTCTCGGGAGCCTCCTGGGCCGTCTTGGGCTGGTCTGGGGGGGCCCTCGGGCCGCTTCGGATTCTCCAAGCCCGACAAAGCGAGATCGCGAAGATCGTTGGACAAATCTGAAGGATATCAAATGTGTGTGTTGCTGTCTGAGGCCCCTTTGGGGCGTGTTGGGGCGTCTTGAGGCCATCTCGGGCATTCTTGAGGCTTCTCCACCATGTCGGAGCCCCTCGGGAGCCATCTGGGAAGCCACCTGGGGCATCCTGTCGCCCGCGGAGGGTGGAGCTGGAGGCCCCCAGGCCCCCGGAGGCGCGTTGGCGAGCTCGTCCCCCCACCCCCCGGGAGGCGGTGGGCCTCCCACAGCAGCGCGGACCCCGGGGGGGAAGGGGGAGGAGGGGGAGGAGACAGCCGAATGTCTCGCACGCCCTTGCACCCCAGGCAAGCGGGGATCGTCAAGACGTTGGTATTGCGACCTCACGTGCCCTGGATTGTGCCCATGCGCAGCTGGGAACCACGCGGATGCGCCAAATGCTGATGTCATCTGTCGTCGGGCAAGCTGCGGGTTTGGAACGCACTCGACGCACCCATGCTCCAGCTGATTCGTTGGTAGGCCCCCAGGAGCCTCTGCTACTACGTGGCAACTGCTGGGCCAAGAACTGCACAGTTGCGCTTTTGCCATGCATTTGATCAAAGCAAACACGCGATGAGAGATCCCGCCCCGCCTTTGATTGGGCAGCAGGTGGGCCGACTGGGAGCACTGGGCGCCGTGCTCCGTCTCCTGCGGCGGCGGACAGACGTTCCGAAAGAGGACCCCCGGACCGTTTTGCAGCACCACCTCTACACGCCGGCCGTTGGGAGTAGGTATTTCTGGATTCCCAGGTCCCAATCTACTGCAAGCGCCTGCCTACTTCAAGAATCGGCACGCTTGTGCTGTGCTTTGTTATTCTCTGTGGGGGCCTGGACCCAATCAACTTAGTCCGCCTTCCTACTTCATGGTTTTACCTACTTACGATCATTTGTGTGTGCGGGAATGGGATCTGCATGCGCGAACATTGAGCACGATTTCAGTCCAGGGCGCAGATGTGCGTCACTGAACTCACTGTCGGGTGACAGCATGAGCCTGGGATAGAGGTGCCGCTTTGTCCAAAATGTTGCAGTCTGACCATGTCGATCATCAGCAGTGAAGATCGAGAGCGCTTCGAGAGTGACGATGACAGGGCGAAACGAGGCACAGCAAGAAGAGAATCGACAGCAAGGAGGGTCAGGTAGTCAGGATCACGAAGGCCCAGGCGGATGAGAAATACATATGCAATCAGTTTTAGGAAAAGCGCGTGCACTTTCTAAGCGGTCGCCGTAATGTCCGTTGCCATTCCATTCGGCTATCCGAGCTCAGCGTCTCATCAAGACTGCCGATGCTCGTGAGACGATGATGCGATCGCGCGAGGCTTCGATCGACTGCGTTCATGCACCCTCCAATGTCATGCGCCACGTGCTGCGGCAAGGCATGTGACATGTTCCGCATTGCTAGATCATCTCTTTGCAGGAAAATCATGTCGTCTGCTAACTTCTGTGGCGCGGAGCCGACTGGGTCTGATTCCGAGATGAAGTTCTGCAACGTGTGGACAGAGTGTCAGAAGGATCGGTATTTTTGTGCTTTGTACTTCCTTTGCCGATTTCGAGTTAGCGCTGCAGGCCGGGACATTTGTACTACCAAGTGTAATGACAGTAGCAGGCCGTTCGCACGTAGGGTGTAGACGTAAGATAATGTCAGGACCCATGCCAGAATCATGCGCTTCAGAAATAGCGACCTGTCGGGTGATCAGGAGATTTGGGGCCGGGGAGTTTACATTTCTATGTGCACTTCGTTTTGCGGGTCGGTTGCTGTAGGAGTTGCAATTCGATGCGCATTTTGATTTACAGTTCGGTTGTGATCTACATTTCTGTTTGCACGTCAATTGCAGGTCGATTGCTTTTTTAGCCTTGCATTCCGAATTGCGTTTCGGAATGCTGGCCGATGTGCATTTCGGTTGCTTGTCGTTCTGCATGTTCGGTTTTCTTTGCGACTGCGAGTTCGACTTTCTCCTTCTAATTCGATGTGAACTTCGATGTTCATTATAACCCCCATGCTCATTTGCAGTAACTCTCTATGTGCATTTTGATTTGCATGTCATTGTGTATTCATATTTGCAGGTTCGATCCAATGTCGATGTGGCAGTGAATGTCCATGTTGATTTGCATGTAGAGTTGAATTGCAGTGTGCAAGTATATTGGTTTTGACGAGTTGCATTTCCATGTGCAGTTCCATTTGCATTTTGGATTATATTCAGATTGCAGATTGGTTCCCATGTAGTCGTCATTCCGATTTGGATTTCGATTTGCAATCCGATGTGCATTCCGATGTGGATTTTGAATGGCGTGCCGGTGATAATATGTTTTTTCATTCAGATGTGCAGTTAAGTTTTCATATCGTTTGCAGTTGGATTCACATGTCGAGTTGAATGTCCCACGTGATGACCGCGGAAACACCCGCGGGACGACCCGGTTGACAACCAGTCGACAATCCGCGGGTAGTTTCACAGGACAATTCACTCGACAACCCGCGGTGCAACCACGTGACGATTGCGGGGCCACCACGCGACAACCCACGGGACAGCCCGCGGGACAACCACAGGGCAACCGCCACACAATTTCGGACAAACCCACAGGACAACCTACGGGACCCAGAACAATCTCGGGACAGCCTAAGGGACAGCCACGAACAACCACTGCAGCTCAAGGAGCAGTCCCGGGACAACCACGGGACGACGCACGGGACAGCCACGGGACAACCCATGAGACAACCATGCGACAGCCACAGGACAGCCACGCGACAGCCCAGACTTGTTCGCCCGATCTGGTGCCCGACTTGGCCGTCGTCTCGACCGGGACGTCGTCGCTCCCGCGCAGCTTCGCCTCGCCTGCGCGCACGACACGAGCCGAAACCCAAACCGAACTCCTCTTTGGGATCACTTCCTTCTCACCTCCCAACATCCGATCATCCAGTGGGCGTCTGGGCATGTGTACAGCTGTATGTGTTTGCCAATGCTTTCCATTATTGGCACGCGATCGCCTGACTGGCCAATGAGCAGGCTGTCATCAAGTTAGCCAACTGACAGTACATGTGCCCACATGTAATTTGTGAGAACGAGACGACGGGGAACGTACGCGTGACATTTCGGCATGCAGAGGTGGCGCGTCAAAGAAACACCAGATTCGGAGCAAGCAGGGATGACTCCCAGATATCTTGAAAGCCTCGGCTACAGGTAGATTGGCCCCGCCGTGATCATAAGAGAGTGGCTCTCAGAGCTCGGATTGCAAGATGACTTCGTGGGGCGATTGGAGTGCCTGCACAGCACCTTGCAATGGACGGGAATGGGATTGAACGGGCAGAGATTAGCAGAAAGCTCTACCAAACACCAAAGAGACTCCCACCAGTGGCGTTCATATGAGCTGCATGGACGGGTTTGTGGTACGCGGCGCACATGGCTACCATGTATAGCAGCATCGGATCTCGAATGTGTGGCATTCGTCGTACATCGATCTGGCCAGTCGGCTCGAACATGCAGGTTTGCCCGTGTATCCTCACAGCCCCCTTTCTTCGCCCCCATCCTTTTTCAGACAGCTGAAGATTTTCGTGTCCCTGGTGATCGTTTTCTTATTCATTGTTTTGCCGGTCCGCGCGGGCCCTCGCACCCCCTCCCCCCCCCATGGAATAGATCTTGGCTGTTTTTGGGCGCCTGTCTCAAGCAGGTGGAGTCTCCCCCATAGGACGCGCTGTTGCAAACGGTCGCATTACACAGAGGAGCCAGACACCCCCCAATCCCCCCCTTCCGCCCAATGTCGAAACGCCGAATAAGAAAACGCTCGCGTGCTACCATGCCCCCCCCCCGCGCCAATCGGCCTCGGGGTCGCCGCGGCCAGGTCTTGGCAGCCGCGATGCCGCCGCCCGCATTTGCCCCGCAGGGGCCCCCGCAAGCGTCGAAGAGTTGGTGTGTCGGCTTGGACATCGGCCCCCCTCTCCACGCGCCTGTCACGTCCTGCCCCATAATCCGCTTTTTCTCGGGCAAGCTCCCGGGCACTCCCACGTGTGGCGTCACCACCCTCCACTCCTGCGCCTCTTCCTCGTCCCCCCGGCATCCCCGCGCCGAGGCATGACCCCCCCAGGGGGCCGATGAAGGGCCGAAGCGTGCTTTTGCCCCCCAGCCATCTTGCGGCGTTGGGTCCTCGCGTCGACTCAGCAGCGCCCTGCGTCCTCCTCTCCTCCGCCTCCCCATTCCCCCCCCCCCTGCCCTCCGCATGCCCGCACGTCCGTAGCCAGTTTGCCCACGCCTTTCCGTAGGCTTAGGTCGGGCCTGTCCCCCCACAGGGGGATCTTCGACGAAAAATAAAACATACCCCAAAAATAGTCAAAAAATAGTCCAAACATAGTCCAGGGACTATTTTTGGAGTATTTTTCGACCTCTGTGGGGCATTTTTGGGGGCATGTTCTATCTTTCGCCGAAAATCCCCTTGTCTGGGGGACACGCCCGACATAACCGTAGGCGCTCTGCTCCTGGACCATGCCCCTCGGCTTGCCCCTGGAGACCACAGCAAGCTTCACGGAGCAGCCTGGCGGGCGTGAGGGACTTTGGGGGAGCATCGCAGGCCTAGAGGTTGGCACCAGCACCAATATCGGCGGCGTGCCTCCACCTAGGGAAGGTGATCCCGATAATAAGAATGATAATAAAAATATTATATAATTATTGTTATTATTATGATTATCATCATCCTTATTATTATTATTCGTATTATTATTATTATTAGTATTATTATTATTATTAAGATTGCCTCCACCGAGGGAAGATGATCCCGATCTCGGGGATGGTGGTCATGTTCAGGCTTTTCAGGTGTCCGAAATAGTGCCGCCCACGCCAGCATCTAGGATCATCCTCCCCCGGTGGAGGCAGTCTTCTGGATTGGTGCTGGCGCCCACCTCCAAGCATCCAGGAGTAGGGCTTCTGGCTCGCGGAGGATGGCGTCGGGAGGGCGTGGAGTTGCACGCCCACGGCGCCGCAGCCCCGAGGACCGCAAAGCGGGGAAGAAGCTGTGGGCTGGGCAGTCTGCCTCAGCGAGCGAAAAACGGTATAAGATAAACTTTTTCGCTGTCGGGGGCGCCTGTCCCAGGGCGGCTGGAAAGTTTATACCCCTACGGTGCCACCGTAAAGGTATAAACTTTCCAGCCGCCCTGGGACAGGCGCCCCCGACAGCGAAAAAGTTTATTGTATACCGTTCTTCGCCCGTTAACTGCCGATCGTGCCATCACCGAGCCCTCTGGCGAGCCCAAGCGCGTGCAGAGGAGGACCTCGAGGCGATCGTCGGCGGCCTCACCACCAGCTTCCGGTGTGCAGAGCTCGCCGGCCGCACCACGGCGCTGGCGCGCCTGCCTCGAGGGCGAAGCTGGCGGGGCGCGTGCGCATGCGCGACGGCGCCCAAATTCGGTACCCCAGATTTCGTAATAAAAGGGAGGGGGTCTGGACCCCCCAAGACAAGTCATTTCAGACCCCCCCCCGTGGGAGAACCCTCCAAAACACCGTCCCCAGACCCCCCCAGGCCCTCCAAGATGGCCTGGAAGAGACCCCCCCCGAAATGAGACCCCCCTCCCTTTATTACGAAATCTGGAGTACACCCCTCACGCGTTTGGTGGCCTCATTAGGGGGCTCCGCCGAAGGCCACAGCGGCAGCAATCGCACGCGTGACAGCGTCGCAAATCGGCATTCCCCTCACACGCTTCGTGGCCCCATGGGGAGCTTCCCCGAAAGCCCCAGGGACAGGAATCGCATGCGTGACGGCGCCAATGTCGGCACATCCCTCACACGTTTCGTGGCCCCCCTGGGGATTTCCATCAAAGGCCCCAATGGCAGGAATCGCATTCGTGACGGCGTTCATGTCGGCACAATCTTCATATTATTCGTTGCCGCATATGGAGCTCCGCCGAAGGCCCCTGTGGCAGGAATCGCATACGTGACGGCGTCCATTTTGGCACACCCTCACAGGTTTCGTGGTCCGATGGGAAACGCCACCGAAGGCCAGAGTGGTAATAATCGCATGCGTGACGGCATCAATTCTGGAACACAATTCACACGCTTCGTGGCCCAAAGGGGGGGTTCATCGGAACACCCAGTGCCGGGAGTCGCATACGTGACGGCGCCCATGTCGGCACACCCATCACACGTTTCTTGGCCTCGTTGGGGCCCCCACCGAAGGCCCCAGCAACAGAACTCGCACTCGTAGCTACGTCCATGTTGGCTCACCCCTCACACGCTTCGGTGCCGCATATGGAGCTCCACCAACTGCCCCAGCGTCAGAAATCGCACTGGCCGAGCCCATCTCGGCGCACCCCTCACACGCTTCGTGGCCCCATGGGGAGCTCGACCGAAGGCCCCTGGTGGCAGGAATCGCATGCGTAACGGGGTCCATTTCGGCACGCCCATCACACGCTCCGTGGCCCCATAAGAGTACCTCGCCGAAGGCCCAAGTGGCAGGAACTGCTTTACTGACGGCGTCCATTTCGGCACACCCTCACACGTGTCGTGACCCCATGGGAAGTTCCACCGAAGGCCCCAGTGGCAAGAATCGCACGCGTGCTGGCGTCCAGTTCGGCACGCCCCTCACACGTGTCGTGGCCCCATAGGGAGCTTCACCGAAGGCCCCGATGACAGGGAGCGGATTCGCGACGGCGTCAACTTCGTTACACCCCTCACAGGCTTCGTGGCCTCATGGTGACCTCCACCGAGGCCCCAGGAGCAGAAATCGCTTCCGTGATGGCGTCCATGTCGGCACATCGTTCACACATTTCGTGGCCCCACGGGGAGCTCCACCGAGAGCCCTGGTGTTTCGTAACGGCGTCAGGCACACCCCTCACACGGCTCGTTGCCCCATACAGGGACTCCACCGAAGGCCCCTGCGGCAGGAACCACATGCGCGACGGCGCCAAATTCGACACGCCCCTCACGTGTTGCGTGGCCCCGCGGGGAGCGCCACCGAAGGCCACAGTGGCAGGAATCGCATGCGTGACGGCGTCAATTCCGGCACTCGCTCGCACGCTCCTTTGGCCCCATGGGAAGCTCCACTGGAGGCTCCAATGTCAGGAGGGAGGAGGGAGGAGGGAGGGGGAGGGGGAGGGAGGGGAGGGGGGGAGGGAGGGAGGAGGGAGGAGGGGAGGGGAGGAGGAGGAGGGAGGAGGGAGGAGGGAGGAGGGAGGAGGAGGAGGGAGGAGGGAGGAGGGAGGAGGGAGGAGGAGGAGGGAGGAGGAGGAGGAGGCGGAGGAGGAGGAGGAGGAGGAGGAGGAGGAGGAGGAGGAGGAGGAGGGAGGAGGAGGAGGAGGAGGAGGAGGAGGAGGAGGAGGAGGAGGAGGAGGAGGAGGAGGAGGAGGAGGAGGAGGAGGAGGAGAGGAGGAGGAGGAGGAGGAGGAGGAGGAGGAGGAGGAGGAGGAGGAGGAGGAGGAGGAGGAGGAGGAGGAGGAGGAGGAGGAGGAGGAGGAGGAGGAGGAGGAGGAGGAGGAGGAGGAGGAGGAGGAGGAGGAGGAGGAGGAGGAGAGGAGGAGGAGAGGAGGAGGAGGAGGAGGAGGAGGAGGAGGAGGAGGAGGAGGAGGAGGAGGAGGAGGAGGGAGGAGGAGGAGGAGGAGGAGGAGGAGGAGGAGGAGGAGGAGGAGGAGGAGGAGGGAGGAGGAGGAGGAGGAGGAGGAGGAGGAGGAGGAGGAGGAGGAGGAGGAGGAGGAGGAGGAGGAGGAGGAGGAGGAGGAGGAGGAGGAGGAGGAGGAGGAGGAGGAGAGGAGGAGGAGGAGGAGGAGGAGGTGGAGGAGGAGGAGGAGGAGGAGGAGGAGGAGGAGGAGGAGGAGGAGGAGGAGGAGGAGGAGGAGGGGAGGAGGCGGAGGAGGAGGAGGAGGAGGAGGAGGAGGAGGAGAGGAGGAGAGGAGGAGGAGGAGGAGGAGGAGAGGAGGAGGAGGAGGAGAGGAGGAGGAGGAGGAGGAGGAGGAGAGGAGGAAGAGGAGGAGGAGGAGGAGGAGGAGGGAGGAGGAGGAGGGAAGAGTCGCATACGTGACGGCGTCCATGTTGGCACTCCCCTCGCACGCTCCGTGGCCCCGTGGGAAGCTCGGCCGACGGCCCCTCCGCCCGGAGCTCCTCGGACCGCTCTCTGCTGCTCCCCCTGGCGCCGCGCCGGCAGACGCGCAGATCAGCCGCGACGGGCTACATCCAATACGTAACCCTTGGCATCGCTCGGACGCGTGCACTTTTTTTCTCGGCGAGGACCATCGAAGAGCATCCTGGATCATCGAGCAAGGAAAACACGCGCAGAACCGAACATCGCACAGGGAGTGGACGTCCGAGCGACGGCAAGAACCCGTACCGGCTGATCTCTGCGACCCCACAGCATCGCCGCGCCGTCCGTCCTCGCGCACGCCCTGGTCCTGAGCTCCCGCCTGCCTCGCGGCGCTCGCAGCTGCATGTGGTTGGATCCTTCGCTGGGCCAGTTCTTGAACAGATGACGGTGATCTCATGATTGAGAACTGCCTTGTAGCATCGTGCAGTACGCATGTACGTATAACATGCCGCGCTGTATTGTATCAGGCCATAAAGGGAGACCATACGCGTGCCGCGACCAGAGATCACGACCCAGAACCAGAGGCCAGAGACCGCGACCGGAGACCACGAGGCACCGTGGCCAGAGAGCACAAATCAGCGAGCGAAGAACGGTTTAAAATAAACTTTTTCGCTGTCGGGGGCGCCTGTCCCTGGGCGGCTGGAAAGCTTATACCCCTACGGTGCCACCTTAAGGATATAAGCTTTCCAGCCGCCCAGGGACAGGCGCCCCCGACAGCGAACAAGTTTATCTTATACCGTTCTTCGCCCGTTAAACAAAGCCACGACAAGAGGCCATGCACGAGCCCCGGCCAGAGACAACGAGCGGAGACCACGAGCGACCAGGAGCCGCGGACAGGGACCTCGAGCCACGATCGGAGAGCACGAAGTCACGAACAGACGCCGAGAGACCGCGACCGGAGGCCATGAGCCATCGATTCTGAAGTGCGCAGGACCCCCACTGGCCTGAGAAGCCTTTACTCAGGAGGGAAAGAAACACGCAGACACAAAAAATCGTCGATCCCCCGGAAAATATGGGAAAATATGGGAAGTGGGGAGGAAGATAAAAAGCCAGAAAATATGGGAAATTATGGGGAATCCTTTTATTTTTGTGTCTTTATTTGTGTGTCCTTGGGCCCCTTGATTTACGTCGCACCCTTACCGACAAGCTGTGTATGGAAGTCTTCCCGGGCTCTTTCGCCCCGTTTCGGGCCGCGTGGAATGCCACAGATCGGCCCAGTTGCGAGCGATGAGCATGAAGATTGGGTCGAGAGTTCGGAGGAGGGGTGAGGGGGAGGGGGGAGGTGGAGAGAACTGGGAGGAGGGATGAGGGAGGCGGGAAGGTGATGATGGTGGTGAGTATGATGATGATGATGATGATGATGATGATGATGATGATGATGAGGAGGATGAGGATGAGGATGAGGATGAGGATGAGGATGAGGATGATGATGATGATGATGATGATGATGATGATGATGATGATGATGATGATGTTGCCGTTACTGTTGCTGTTGCTGTTGCTGTTGCTGTTGTTGATGATGCTGATGCTGATGATGGTGATGATGATGGTGGTGGTGTTGATGATGAAGATGATGATGATTATGCTGCTGCTGATGATGATGATGATGTTGCGGAGGATGAGGATGACGATGATGGGGAGGGATGGACGAATATGGAAAGAATATGGAGGAGGATGGACGAGGGGGAGGAGGAGTAGGAGGAGGAGGATAAGGAGGAGGTGATGGACCAAAAGGAAGAAGGATGGAGGAGAAGGCGGATGGACGAGGGATCAGGAGGACGAGGAGGAGGAGGAGGAATGAGGAGGGAGGAGGACAGAGGAGAGGGGGAGGACGGACGTAGAAGGAGGAGGAGGAGGAGGAGGACGGAGGAGGACGTACGACGACGACGACGACGACGACGACGACGACGACGACGACGACGATGATGATGATGATGATGATGATGATGATGCTGATGATGATGATGATGATGATGATGATGATGATGATGATGATGATGATGATGATGCTGATGTGATGCTGATGCTGATGCTGATGCTGTGCTGATGCTGATGCTGATGCTGTTGCTGATGCTGATGCTGATGCAGATGATGATTGATGATGATGATGATGATGACGATGATGATGATGATGATGATGATGATGATGCTGATGATGCTGATGATGCTGATGCTGATGCTGATGCTGTTGCTGATGTTGATGCTGTTGCTGTTGCTGATGCTGATGCTGATGCTGATGCTGATGCTGATGATGATGATGATGATGATGATGATGATGATGATGATGATGATGATGATGATGATGATGATGATGATGATGATGACGAGGAGGAGGAGGAGGAAGAAGAGGAGGAGAAGGAGAGGGAGGAGAAGGAGGAGGAGGATGGATGATGATGATGAGGAGGAGGAGGAGGAGGCGGAGGAGGAGGAGAAGGAAGAAGAGGGCGGGGGGAGGGGGCGACAACCGACGGCGTCGAGGCGCCACCCAGTGACGACGACGCGGTCGAGGCCCCTGCCTGGGCCGCCCGCGTGGGCCGGGCCGGAGGCGTCAAGCGGCGCACCCGGCGCGTGGAGAGCTACGGGACGGGCAAGGGCCAGGCGTGCGAAGGTGCGCCGCGCCGGTCTTGGCATCGCTCGGACGGGGGCGAGGACTCGAGAGGGAGAGCCGTTTTTGGGACCCTTTGAGCTCCTGGCTTGATGCACCAACGAGCGCTGCGTGGGGGTCGGGCACGTGACGTGCAAGATACCTTACATGTCTACCTTCGGAGTACAGGGGCAGGGGTGGGGTGGTCTGGCTCTGCGGAGGCCAGTTTGAGAGAGGCTGTGAGCCCGCTGGTGGTCCTCGGCGAGTGGCCCGCTCTTGAATCCAGCGCGACGGTTCCAGGGGTCTCAAGCTTGTTTCGGAACGAGGGCTGCCCCACTCAAGACTACCAGAGTATCATACCTGCTCCCGCATATCTGCACGAGGCCAATGTCAATGCATAATGTTTCATTTCTCTTCCGTGGAGAGGGCATTTCTACCTGCAGCACAGACGCAGCTGACGTTCATTCGAGACGAGCTCGAATCAGCTACACATACCGTGAGTTTGACCAGCGCGGGACGAGTGAGTACCAGCTGGCAGCAGCACTACACATACAAAGAGACCCTACACATCAACGCTGCATGAGAAAACACACGACGATTCAACGTCGAACTCCGCGTGCACGGCACACCACGGCAAGCGGACGGCAAACCGCCTGCACCTCGAAGACTGAGCGTGGCGCGGGCACGGCACGGCACGCGCGCACAGCACGACATGGATCTGCGGGCGGCACCATGCTCCGCATGCTGGCACGCAGGCGCGGCATGGCACGCGGGCACGGCTAGGGGGGCCAAATGCGAGCCCTACCCCTACCCCCCTTCGATTACTTAGGGGGAGGGTGGGGTTCATGTCATTCGGGAACTGCCGAACGAAGTGAACCCCGCGGGGTTCATTTCATTCGGGATTGCGTGTCGTGCCGTGCCCGCGTGGCGTGACGCGCCCGTGCCGCGCTCGTTTTTCAGAAGGCAAAGAGTGTGCCGCCCCTCCTCCTCCTCCTCCTTCTCCTCCTCCTTCTCCTCCTCCTCCTCCACCTCCTCCTCCTCCTGCTCCTCCTCCTCCCTCTCCTCCTCACCCTCCCCCTCAGAAATTATCGTGGGGGGTAGGGGTATGGTCCGCCTGTGGCCCCCTAACGCCACCGCCACGCGGGCACTCGGCACAGCTGCGCGGGCACGGCACGGCGTGCGCGGGCGCGGGCGCGGCATGCGGGCGCGACACGCACTGCTGCGCATCGCACCACGCGCGAGCACGGCAGGGCGCGGCAGGGCACGGCACCCCTGGCACGGCACGCGGGGCGGCACGCCTTCTCCCGCGGCGCCACGCGCCGCGCGGGCACGGCACGGCCACGCGGGCACGATGTACGTCTGCGGGCGGCGCGCGCTTTTCTCGCACGCCGTCACGCGGGCACGGCACCGCGCGCGGGCACGGCTCGGCACGGCGCGGCAGGCTCGCGCCGTGTCGACCGGCGGCGGCCCCGCCGCCGGCGTTCCACGTGGAACGCCGGCGGCGACCCAGAACCGGTCCGTGTTGAGCGACCTGACGTTTCGGACACAGTTTTTTTTTGCGGGGCGAGAGCGAACCTCTTCCGCTAAAAGCTAGGCGGGCTGCGCACAGCTTCAATTTACCTAACAGCGAAGACTGATAGGTTTCTAGTGGTGTAAAAAGAGAGCAGCACATTACTCCACAGGGGGGTCTGGGCAGCCGTTGGGGAGCCGTTGGGGGGCCGTTGGGGGGCCGTTGGAGATTGCGGGGAACCTCGTTTTTCGCAAACAGTCACACACTTCGTGTCGACCTCCCAGAAACTTCTTCGACCTCCCAGAACTCCATTTCTTCGACTTCCCAGAACTCCATTCCCGGGCCACATTTTGATGCCCGGAGCCAACTGTAGGCCACTTCGTGCTCTTCGAGTTCCCAGAACTCCATTCCCGGGCCACATTTTGGATGCCCGGAGCCAACTGTAGGCCACTTCGTGGTCTTCGAGTTCCCAGAACTCCATTCCCGGGCACATTTTGGATGCCCGGAGCCAACTGTAGGCCACTTCGTGGTCTTCGAGTTCCCAGAACTCCATTCCTGGGCATGATTTTGAATGCCCGGAGCAAACTGTAGGCCACTTCGTGTTCTTCGAGTTCCCAGAATTCCATTCCCTGGCCACATTTTGAATGCTGAGGCAGGCTGAGGCTGAGGCTGAGGCAGGCTGAGGCAGGCTGAGGCTGAGGCCGAGGCTGAAGGCAGACTGAGGGGCAGGCTGAGGCTGATGAGGCAGGCTGAGGCTGAGGCTGGCAGGCTGAGGCTGAGGCAGGCTGAGGCTGAGGCTGAGGCTGAGGCAGGCTGAGGCTGAGGCAGGCAGGCTGAGGCTGAGGCTGAAGGCAGAGGCTTGAGGCTGAGATGCTGAGGCTGAAGCAGGCTGAGGCTGAGGCTGAGGCAGGCTGAGGCTGAGGCTGAGGCAGGCTGATGCTGAGGCAGGCTGAGGCTGAGGCTGAGGCTGATGCAGGCTGAGGCTGAGGCAGGCTGAGGCTGAGGCCGAGGCTGAAGGCAGACTGAGGCTGAGGCTGAAGCAGGCTGAGGCTGAGGCTGAGGCTGAGGCTGAGGAAGGCTGAGGCTGAGGCTGAGGCAGGCTGATGCTGAGGCAGGCTGAGGCTGAGGCTGAGGCTGATGCAGGCTGAGGCTGAGGCAGGCTGAGGCTGAGGCCGAGGCTGAAGGCAGACTGAGGCTGAGGCTGAAGCAGGCTGAGGCTGAGGCTGAGGCAGGCTGAGGCTGAGGCTGAGGCAGGCTGATGCTGAGGCAGGCTGAGGCTGAGGCTGAGGCTGATGCAGGCCGAGGCTGAGGCAGCCTGAGGCTGAGGCCGAGGCTGAAGGCAGACTGAGGCTGAGGCTGAAGCAGGCTGAGGCTGAGGCTGAGGCAGGCTGAGGCTGAGGCTGAGGCAGGCTGATGCTGAGCCAGGCTGAGGCTGAGGCTGAGGCTGATGCAGGCTGAGGCTGAGGCTGAGGCTGAGGCCGAGGCCGAGGCTGAAGGCAGACTGATGCTGAGGCTGAAGCAGGCTGAGGCTGAGGCTGAGAGGCTGAGGCTGAGGCTGAGGCAGGCTGAGGCTGAGGCAGGCTGAGGCTGAGGCTGAGGCTGATGCAGGCTGAGGCTGAGGCAGGCTGAGGCTGAGGCCGAGGCTGAAGGCAGACTGAGGCTGAGGCTGAGCAGGCTGAGGCTGAGGCTGAGGCTGAGGCAGGCTGATGCTGAGGCAGGCTGAGGCTGAGGCTGAGGCTGATGCAGGCTGAGGCTGAGGCAGGCTGAGGCTGAGGCCGAGGCTGAAGGCAGACTGAGGCTGAGGCTGAATGCAGGCTGAGGCTGAGGAGGCTGAGGCTGAGGCTGAGGCTGAGGAGGCTGAGGCTGAGGCAGGCTGAGGCTGAGGCTGAGGCTGATGCAGGCTGAGGCTGAGGCAGGCCGAGGCTGAGGCCGAGGCTGAAGGCAGACTGAGGCTGAGGCAGACTGAGGCTGAGGCTAGGCTGAGGCTGAGGCTGAGGCTGAGGCTGAGGCTGAGGCTGAGGCTGGCTGATGCTGAGGCAGGCTGAGGCTGAGGCTGAGGCTGAGGCAGGCTCAGGCTGAGGCAGGCTGAGGCTGAGGCCGAGGCTGCAGGCAGACTGAGGCTGATGCAGGAGCAGGCTGAGGCTGAGGCTGAGGCAGGCTGAAGCTGAGGCTGAGGCTGATGCTGAGGCAGGCTGAGGCTGAGGCTGAGGCTAATGCAGGCCACTGCGACTGTCATCGCGAATGCGACTACGACTGCGAGAACAGCAGAACTCTACAACTGGATTCTCATCTGAATCTTAAGGGGGATGCTTCCAGATATGCTCCTACACATCGCTGTTAGGTTGCTTTGCCGGGATAATTTTTGCGGGGCGAGAGCGAACCTCTTCCGCTAAAAGCTAGGCGGGCTGCGCACAGCTTCAATTCTTTACGCTTCGCGTATCCCCACCAGCCCATCTCTCAACAGCAACTCTTGCGAAGCATGCCGACAGTCGTGTTTTTCAGGCGTGTTTCCGCCTGCCCCCGCATATCTCCCCTGTTACTCCTTCCTCCCGCCTCCTTGTACATCCTCCTTGTGGGGGGAGCGGGAGAAGGACGAGGCGGAGGAGGAGGGAGAGAAAGCGCGCCTCGTGGTTTGAGTCGTTTGGGGTTTCTCGTCCTGGTGTGAGTCGTTCGGGCCCTTCTTCCTGGTGTGAGTCGTTCGGGCTCTTCGTGGTGTGAGTCGTTCGGGCTCTTCGTCCTGGTGTGAGTCGTTCGGGCTTCTCGTGGTGTGAGTTGTTCGGGCCCCTCGTCCTGGTGTGAGTCGTTCGGGCCCCTCCTCCTGGTGTGACTCGTTCGGGCTCCTCGTGGTGTGAGTCGTTCGGGGCCCTCGTCGTGGTGTGAGTCGTTCGGGCTCCTCGTGGTGGCTTGTATGAGCGCTGCCCCTCCTCCTGGTGTGACTCGTTCGGGCTCCTCGTGGTGTGAGTCGTTCGAGGCCCGCGTCGTGGTGTGAGTCGTTCGGGCTCCTCGTGGTGTGAGTCGTTCGGGCGCCTTGTCCTGGTGTAAGTCGTTCGGGAACCTCCTTGTGGTGTGAGTCGTTCGGGCTCTTCGTGGTGTGAGTCGTTCGGGCCCCTCGTCCTGGTGTGAGTCGTTCGGGCTCCTCGTGGGGCCTCTTGGGGGCCTCTTGGAGCCTCTTGGGGCCTCTTGGGGGCCTCTTGGGGGCCTCTTGGTGGCCTCTTGGGGGCCTCGTGGGGCCTCTGGGGGCCTCTTGAGGGCCTCTTGGGGGCCTCTTGGGGGCCTCTTGGGGGCCTCTTGGGGGCCTCTTGGGGGCCTCTTGGAGGCCTCTTGGGAGGCTCCTGGGGGCCTCTTGGGGCCATCTTGGGGCCTCTTGCGACCTCCTCGGAAGCGCAAAGGAGCGCTGCCCCCTGAGAAGGATAACATGAGCCCAAAACCTTAGTAAAATCAATGATTTTGTTATCAAGGAAGAGGAGCGCTGCCCCCTCAGAAGGCCAAAATGGGGCCAAAACCCTAGTAAAATCAACGATTTTGGCTTCAAAGAAGAGGAGAGGGGCCAAACTCGGTCCCCCCGTCGGGGCCAGAATCCTTGTGAGGGTCGTCGTTTTTTGGCCCTCCCAGGAGTCGAAAAAAAAACCCTTGCCACCACTCGGGACTCCCTCTCCAGGCCCAGGGGGAGGGGGTAGGGGGAGGGGTAAACCCCTCCCCGAAGGGGAAGAAGGGGGGTTGAGGACAGAGCGGGCTCTCTAAACCACTCACGCCCAAAGGACTGGTGGGATTAGGGAGACAGGGCACAGGAATGCGGGGCCTCAGGCGGCCGGAGTGGGCGGGGCCCTGGGGTGCAGGCGGTGGCCGTTTCGGACACAGCCGACCGTTCAAAGTGGAATCATCCCCGCGGTGTCGCCCCGCGCCCTGCACTCTGCACCAGGGCTGGGCATGCCCTCCTACGGGCGGCTGCCCGCGGTGCCGTGCCGAGCTGCGCCCCGTGCGCTGCCCGCGGCGCCAGGAACGAAGGAGGGGCAGGCGAAGGCCCAGAAAATAGTGGAACATATGGAGAATCCTGTCGTCTGTGCCTATCTGTTTATTTATTACCTAACAGCTCTTGCTGATAGGTTTCTAGTGGTTTCAAAAGAGAGCATCTTGACGCCCCAGGGGGGTCTGGGCGGGACCCGGACAGGGGATCCGGCAGCCCCAGGAATCTTTAGGAATCCTTAGGAATCTTTCAGAATCCTTAGGAATCCATTCCCAGAACAACTCCCATGCCACATTTTGAATGCCCGGAGCCAACTGTAGGCCACTTCGTGGTCTTCGTGTTCCCAGAACACCATTCCCAGGCCACATTTTGAATGCCCGGAGCCAACTGTGGGCCACTTCGTGTTCTTCGTGTTCCCAGAACACCATTCCCAGGCCACATTTTGAATGCCCGGAGCCAACTGTAGACCACTTAGTGTTCTTCGAGTTCCCGGAACACCATTCCTGAGGCAGGCTGAGGCTGAGGCAGGCTGAGGCTGAGGCTGAGGCAGGCTGAGGCTGAGGCCGAGGCTGATGCAGGCTGAGGCTGAGAGGCTGAGGCTGATGCAGGCTGAGGCTGAGGCTGAGGCCGAGGCAGGCTGAGGCTGAGGCTGAGACAAGCCGAGGCAGGCTGAGGCTGAGGCTGAAGCTGAGGCTGAAGCTGAGGCTGAGGCTGAGGCTGTGGCTGAGGCTGCGGCAAGCTGCGGCTGAGGCAGGCTGAGGCTGAGGCTGATGCAGGCTGAGGCTGAGGCTGAGGCTGATGCAGGCTGAGGCTGATGCAGGCTGAGGCTGAGGCTGAGGCTGATGCAGGCTGAGGCTGAGGCCGAGGCAAGCCGAGGCAGGCTGAGGCTGAGGCTGAGGCTCATGCTGAGGCAGGCTGAGGCTGAGACAGGCTGAGGCTGAGGCTGAGGCAGGCTGAGGCTGAGGCCGAGGCAGGCTCAGGAGGCTGAGGCAGGCTGAGGCTGAGGCAGGCTGAGACTGAGGCTGAGGCAGGCTGAGGCTCAGGCTGAGGCCGAGGCAGGCTGAGGCTGATGCAGGCTGAGGCTGAGGCTGAGGCTGAGGCTGAGGCTGAGGCTGAGGCAAGCCGAGGCAGGCTGAGGCTGAGGCTGAAGCTGAGGCAGGCTGAGGCTGAGGCTGAGGCAGTGGCTGAGGCTGAGGCAAGCTGCGGCCGAGGCAGGCTGAGCCTGAGGCAGGCTGAGGCTGAGGCAGGCTGAGGCTGAGGCTGAGACAGGCTGAGGCTGAGGCTGAGGCTGATGCAGGCTGAGGCTGAGAGGCTGACGCTGAGGCCGAGGCAGGCTGAGGCTGAGGCCGAGGCAGGCTGAGGCTGAGGCTGAGGCTGAGGCTGAGGAAAGCTGCGGCTGAGGCAGGCTGAGGCTGAGGCTGAGGCAGGCTGAGGCTGATGCAGGCTGAGGCTGAGGCTGATGCAGGCTGAGGCTGAGGCTGAGGCCGAGGCAGGCTGAGGCTGAGGCCGAGGCTGAGGCCGAGGCAGGCTGAGACTGAGGCTGAGGCTGATGCTGAGGCAGGCTGAGGCTGAGACAGGCTGAGGCTGAGGCTGAGGCTGAGGCTGATGCTGAGGCAGGCTGAGGCTGAGGCCGAGGCAGGCGAATCCTTCGGAATCCTTAGGATTCCGTAGGAATCCTTAGGAATCCCTAGGAACCCCAGGGATCAGGATTCCTACGGATTCCTAAAGTTTCCTAAGGATTCCTATGGATTCCCAAGGATGCCTAAGGATGCCTTAGGAATCCCTTGGAATTCCTAGGATTCCATTGGATCCTAAGGCCGTTGCCACTGCGACTGTCATTTCGAATACGACTGCGACTGCCAGAGCAGCAGAATTCTACAAGTGGATTCTCACCTGAATCTTAAAGGGGGATGCTTCCAGATATGCTTATACACATCGCTGTTAGGTTGCTTTGCCGGGATACTTGATGTTTTATTTTTAAAGAGAGAGGTTCGCTCTCGCCCCAAAGATCAAACAAGTGCCTATTTCTTTGCGTGTCCCGGGGCCCCGTCAGGAGCGAGCGCCCGAAGTCGCCACGGCACGAGCCTGCCGCACGCTATGCGGCGCGGCACGCGCGGGCGCGGCATGGGCGCACGGCACCGGGCCGCGGCGCGGGGCACGGCGCGGTGCGGGCGGGGGGCAAGCGGTGCGTCGCACTCCGAGGGCGCGGGCGGGGCGCGCCGCGCGGGCCCGGCGGGGCACGGTAACTCAGGAGGGGAAAAAACACGCAGACACAATTCATCGTCGATCCCCCAGAAAGTATAGGAAAATCTGGGAAGTGGGGGGGAAGACAAAACCCAGAACATATTGGAAAATCGGAGGTGAGGGGGTGAGATCGAAGTGGAACGGAGAGCCCCCCTACCGGGAAATCGATTTCGGTTGCGTGTTCGTGCGTGCCGTGCGTGCGGGCGAGGCGAAGCTGCGTGGGCGGGCGAGAGAAAGTCTCCTGTGGCTGAGGCGCGGCCGGACCAAATGTCTCCCTTCCGGGCGGCCGGGGGCCCGCGGTGTCCCGCCGGTGCCCCGTCGGTGTCCCGATTATGGTGATGATATTGATGATGATGATGGTGATGATGATGACGATGTTGATGTTTTGTTTTGATGATGGATAGTGAGAACGGTAGTGATATCGATTGTGAGATCGAATGTCAGATCGCTTGTGATATCGATTGTGAGATCGATTGTGATACCGAGTGTGAGATCGATAATGAGATCGATAGTGAGATCGATTGTGAGACCGAATGGGATATCGATTGTGGGATCGATTGTGATATCGATAGTGAGATCGATAGTGAGACCGAATGTGAGATCGATTGTGGAATCTATTGTGAGATCGATAGTCAGATCGATTGTGAGATCGATCGATTGAGTTAGTAGTGAGATCACTATCGGTAATGAGATCGGTAGTGATTTCGATAGTGAGATCGATGATGAGACCGAATGTGAGATCGATTGTGAGTTCGGTTGTGATATCGATAGAGAGATAGATAGTGAGATCGATAATGAGATCGAAAGTGAGTTCGATAGAGAGATAGATAGTGAGGCCGAATGCGAGATCGATTGTGATATCGATTGTGATATCGATAGTGAGATCGATAGTGAGACCGAATGTGAGATCGATAATGAGATCGATAGTGAGTTTGATCGTGAGATCGATAGTCATATCGAATGCGAGATCGATTGTGATATCGATTGTGAGATCAATAGCGAGACCGAATGTGAGATCGATTGTGGGATCGATTGTGAGATTGATTGTGAGATCGATAGTCAGATCGATTGTGAGATCTATCGATTGAGATCGATTGTGAGATCGGTAGTGAGTTCGATAGTGAGATCAATCGAGTGCGACGTTGGTCCCTCCCCCCCCCTCACCTCCTTATCACCCGAAGGGTGGTCTATGCGGTATGGGGAATAGTTTTATTTGTGTGTATTTGTGTGTGTCCTGAGGCCCCTTCAATAATGTGGGCGGGCTCGTGTTTTCCGTTGCGAAGTTGCGTCGGAGAGAGTCCCTCGACAGGAGGAATCTACGAACAGTTTAAGCAAATAGTCCGGTGACGATGTTTCGTGTTTTTGCTTGGCTGGGTTCGTGGTGTGTGTGTGTGTGTTGGCTAGTTCCTGTTGGTCTGCCAAAGCCCGCCTGCAGGAGGACATGCCAGGCCTGAGTGTTAGAGTGCAGGCGCGGAGCGGCACGCGGTACTGCACGGGGCACAACACGGCACGGCACGCGGGCAGCACGCTTGACGTTTTCGAGAACGAGAACGCGTGTTTTCGTGATGCAGGTGGACACCACCCACCAGACCACCCCAACCCAAACCGAAGGCCGCAATCTGCCCATTCCCAGTGGGGGGGGGGCGGGGGGCGTCGGGGAAGATCGAAAAACACATGTGGGGCCCGTACCCCCCCCCCCCCGAACCCGAAACGTGGGTCTTTGGGCTGGATTGGGCTGGTCTGGTAGGTAGTCAGGTGGTGCCAATATCGCATCGTACTTAGTTGACGATTGTTCGCGATGCGCCCAGAAAGCTCACACCCATGTTCTGACGCTTGGAAATGCTTGGACGTGGGCGTCAAACAACCTAGCACCGCACAACCACGCCACGCTTAGAAGCATCGGAGCATATCGAGATAACGAACTCCAATTCTTCAGGATGCGATTGCTAGCTTGTACACGTTGATGACACCGTTGGCCTTCAATGGTGCTGCGTTTCAGTTTTTGGCAAGGGGCGTTGCTGGTTGAAACTGCTTGCGACTGAAAGGTGGACCTGTGCGTGCGTCTGTGGACGAGCAGCTTGCGACCGAAATGTGGACCTGTGCGTGCCTTTGTGGACGAGGGCAGCAGATAATTCACACTGATGCCAAGGCGCGTTGGAGATGATGGAGCCGCGCCTGTGGACGGGGATAGCAGATAAGTCACACTGATGCCCAGGCGCGTTGGAGATGATGGAGCCGTGCAACCCCTCGCCGGACGAGAAGATGCCAGCCATCTGCTCCCACGGCGAACCGGTCCCGCGCGCAAGCTGTGCCAGCGGACAGTCTACAATCGTTGTAGTGCGATGGATGCTAAGCTCTCGCTCTCCAAGCAGATCTCTCCAGCACCACTTGGCATCGCTTGGACGTGTGCATTTTTCCTTCGGCGAGGACCATCGAGGAGCATCCTTGATCATTTGGCGAAAAACCACGCACAAAACCAACAGAAAAACAGGGAATGGACGTCCGAGCGATGGCCAGACCAAGGGTCCCACGACTCGAGCTTCTTGCAGACGGCAGAAAAAAAACTACAAGCCTCGCCAAAGTTAATATCAAAACTGTCTTGCGTGGCTGAGCTGTTTGTGGGGAGATTCTGTGCAGAGTAGCGGTGACTGCGAGGTACTTGTATGCGCCGCCCCTCCACTGTCCGTCATCATCGAACTTCCGGGTCGTTCCCGGTCAGACCACTTTTGCCCTGGCCTTGACATCGGAGGGGCGTCGCATCGACATTGAAGAACGCGCCGACATCGCAAGGGCGTGGTCGCCATTTTTGAGATTAGTTTTGACGAGGGTGGTAGTAACAGAAATAGGTGACCTTCGGAATCGTGCCCAGACGTGAGACTCGTCGAAGGGATGTTTGAAGGCGTAGCGGGTCAACACAACCAGAAGAGACCACAGTTGTGAGTGCCAGTCGTTATATCTTTCTAAATCCTTGTCTCTATCTAATGGCCTTCGGCTCATCCCGTCACCGTGCCTGCGTGGTGGGGATGAAACCTATTGGATGTTCATTGGGATCTCGTGGGAGGCTTCTCGGTGGCCTCCTGGAGGCAGTTTGGAGGCCTCTTGTGGGCGGTTTGGAGGCCTCTTGGGGCCTGTTTTGGGCCTCCTGGAGGCCTCTTGGGCCCTCTTGGGGCCTCTTGGGGGCCTCTAGGCGGCCTCTACGGGCCTCCTGGGTGCCTCTTGGGGCCTCCTGGGGGCCTCTTGGGGCGGAAGGCTTGGATTGTCGCTTCGTGTTCTTTCGTGTGTGTCCCTTTGGGGCCGTCATGGGGCCCTTTTGGGCCGTTTTGGGCGCCTCTTGGGCTGCCTTGGGGCCCTCTTGGTCCATTTTGGTGCCCTCTTTGAGGCCTCTTGGGTCGTCTTGGGGCAGGGCCGTCTGGGAGCGTCGGGAAGCCGAAAAGGCGAGAACGCCAAAATCCTTCAATCACATACGGAAGCCAATGATGCTGGTCTCTCGGGGCCCTCGCGGGAGGCCTCTCGAAGGCCTCGCGAGGGGTCTTGGAGGCATCTTGGGCCGCTGGGGGCCACCTGGAGCGTCTTGGAGCGATCGTTCGGCGACTCGGGGCCTCCCTTGGACCGTCTTCGGGGCTTCCTGGGGCCCTCTTGGCCCGTCCTGGGGCCCTCCTTGGATCCAAGCACCGTCAGCACGCGACAAGACGCCTGGGGGGAGCCGCGGGCCGACGCGGGGGCCGCCCTTGAAGATGTGGGCCGAGAGGCTCCGAACCCCATGGAGAACCTCCTCAGGAGGGGCTGCTGAGACTCAGAGGGACTGCTGAGCATACTGCAACGCGACCACGCGGTAAAGTGCCAGCGTGTCTAATGGAGGTTGGTTGGGGTTGGTTGGTGGAATATGTTGTTGTTGTTGTTGTTGTTGTTGTTGTTGTTGTTGTTGTTGTTGTTGTTGTTGTTGTTGTTGCAGCGTGCAGTGCAGCAGCAACGAACGCAGAGTCTCCTGGGAGGTGCAGACACAGAGGCGTTACGACGATTTTGGTGTTTTTGTTCTACCTCCGTAGTTTTCGGCCCGAGTCGCGAGAGAGCTTCAGCGCCAGTTGGGTTTCTCAAGAGCCCACGCGCCGGCGCTAACACTTACCATCGCCTGTTGAAAAACATCGTGCGCCCATCATCCACAGGGGTACTGGAAGGACCTGAGGACACGCCCACTCCGTGCCCAGCGGCACGGTGGCGGATGCTCCTCTTCATTCGCATGTATGGCGCGGGCATACTGGTATATCTAGATGCGTCGGGCGGTGAAAGTGGGTGCTTCTGGGCTCCCAAATCCCAATCTACGTTAGCCGCCTTCCTACTTCAAGAGTCGAGTGGTTTCCCTTCCCCTCCTATCCACGGGGCGGGCGGAAACTAAATCTACTTCCAATGCCGTCCTGCTGCATGTTTATACCCACTTCTTCCGGCTGGCGGGTATATATGATATACGTATGTGTATACATGTGTATATATATATATAATTTCAGGCGCCACTGCCTGATACTTCGCTTCGGCGGTAGTTTGGCCGCGTATGTGCTTGCTCGCTCTGTTTTTGCTTATTGGCACAGTCTCTCTATTGCTATTGTTTGTGCCGCGTGGCAAGGGGCCATTACATGGATTGTTCATGGTGGCGGGCGCTGCGTTCGAATATTTAGCAGCGGTGTGACAGTGAGTCGACATGTGATGTAATTTGAAGTGCAGGTCGATTGCGAGCTTGATCAATGGCGCCGTTGGGTGGGGTTGCAAGTCAAGAAGAGGTGAAAGCGCGGAGATCGGTCGGTGCAGCACGTGAAGGTTGATGGAAGTCAGCGAGGAGAGGCAGACCACTCTGATATGCATGTGGGTATTGCAGCTGATCTGCCCACCTTTCTTGCGATGTGTTTCGATTGCGATTCCGATAGAAGCCCTCTGGCCGCTCCAGAGTGTGCACCGACTGTTGGTGCTCTTGGCGCGCCCGAAGGGAGAGTCAAGGGGAGGACTTCTTGGGGTGACTGCAGTGCCAGCTGTGACGGAGGACAGCGCGTCCGTCACAGGCGGGCGCGGGGAAGTTGTTCTCCGGTTGGCTGAAGCAATGCGCACACGAGTGGCCCAACATGGTACATCTGTTTATATAGACGTGTATATATATATGTGTGTGTATTAGTATATAAGTGTATTTTATGTGTGTACAAATATGTATGTATGTATGTATGTATGTATGTATGTATGTATGTATGTATGTATGTATGTATGTATGTATGTATGTATGTATGTATGTGTGTGTGTATGTATGTATGTATGCATGCATGTATGTATGTATGTATGTATGTATGTATGTATGTATGTATGTATAGAGAGAGAGAGAGAGAGCTGCCTACGGCAAGTCCCGCCACCTTGAATGGGTTGTCGGTTACAAGCCTAGGAACATTGTGGGAGACCTCTCGAGGCATCTTGGAGGCAGTTCTGGGGGGGCCTCTTGGGGGTCTCTTAGGGGGCCTCTTGGGGGCCTCTCGTTGGCCTCGTGGGGCCTCCCTGGAGGCCTCCTTGGAGGCCTCCTGGGGCCTCTTCGGATGTTCGCGTCGTGCTCCCTCTTCTGTGCCCCCTCTTGGGGCCGTCTTGGAGGAGGAGGAGGAGGAGGAGGAGGACGAGGAAAGGAGGAGGAGGAGGAGGAGGAGGAGGAAAGGAGGGGAGGAGGAGGAGGAGGAGACCTTCTTGGGCGCCTCCAGAGCCGGCCAGCCTCCGAGACGCCCGCGAGGCGCCCGCCAGCCGGTCCCGAGCGCGAGTCTCCGCGCGCCCAGGGAGCGCCCCCCCGGGCGAGCCACCGGGCCCCACGTGGTTGGAAGCACAGCCTCCTCCTCCTCCTCCTTCTCCTCCTCCTCCTCTCCCCTCCTCCTCCTCCTCTTCCTCCTCCTTCCTCCTCTCCTCCTCCTCCTCCTCCTCCTCCTCCTCCTCCTCCTCCTCCTCCTCCTCCTCCTCCCTGATGCTCCTGGAAAGCGACCCCACCTGGCAAGTGCAAGTCTCTGTCATCAGCAGGTGGCATCGTGAGCTTTGGGCCTCCTCTAGTCGTCTCCACGCTGCCGCGTTCCCGATCCCCTTGCTGCGTAAGTGGTGGGGCAGCGTCTGGGCTCGTCCCCCGCGCACGTGGAGAGGGGTTAGGGGCCCCCTGTCGGGGATGTACATGACTCTTGTGGGCCTCGGTTGGGAGATGCCTGAGTTTAACAGGCTGGTGGATGATCTCGGGAACACTCACGAGCTTTCATTCACTTCCCCCGCCCTCCTTAGGAAACACCTTCGAGCTGCGGTCCTTAGGAGACTCGAGCGCTACCTAGCGCACAAGTGCTGTTTCGGGCACGGCCGCCTCTGCTACGATGTGGTCTCCTCTTTCTTGTCCTCCTCCAAGTATACTCCTCTTCAAAAAGGGATTCTGAGGAGCTGTACGTGCGACGGCATTTGGACTCGAATGAAGGCCCGTGGCTGCGGTTACCAGTTTCCTGCAGAGTGCGAGCTCTGCGGCGCGGCCACCGACTCGATTTTCCACCGCCTGTGGATGTGTCCGAAGTTGCAAGCTCTTCGTTCCGAGTTGGTTGGTCAGGAACTCCTAGATTCCCTATTCGATTACGTTACCTCTTCGGACTTGCTGTTTGTGGTTACTCATGGAGTCCTCCCTCACCCTGGCGATCTGCACCATCCTCCTCGACACATGGACGACGATACGCTTAACATCACCTGGCATTCGAACCCCCCCAGCCAGAATCGTTTGAAGGTGTGGTTTTCGTAGATGGCTCCTGTTCGAGAAGGGTCATTAAAGAACTGTCCAGAGCCTCCTGGGGAGTCGCCCTGTACATTCCCGACCAGGAGCTGCTGGCCACAGCCTCGGGGCCCGTCTGGGCTCATCTCCCTCAGACGCCCCAGGCAGGAGAGTTTTGTTCCTTTTTGGCGGGGGTCCAACTGATTTCGGGTCCCTCGTCGATTGTTTCCGACTGCGAGAGCGTTGTTAAACTTTTTGGAGCCGACCGTGCTAGGCAACTCAGTGGCAAAGGCGTTTATTCAGGCCACTTGTTACAGGCTAGAGCTGAGCCAGGATTTAAACATGTTTCGCTGGTCTCGCAGGTTAAATCCCACCAATCGGTAGACGACGTTTCGATCTCTCCACAGCTTCGCTTCTGGAGGGAAGGGAATGACCAGGCGGATGCCCTGGCCAAGGCCGCACTCGCGAGACACCCATTAGATTTGAAGCTAGAGGAATCGCTCACCAACGACATCAAATTTGCTAGAGCTTATTGTACACTGGCGATGCACGGAGAAGTAGAGTACGTCCGCCTTCCGAAGCCAGTGAGAACTGGCAAAGGGTTGCATTTCTGGCGACATGTTGGAACTTTTTGGAAGTGCTTGATTTGCCTCAAAGTGCGACGCTGCCCCTGGCCTCGAAAGCCCCCTTTGGAGGACTGCCCAGGCACGAGGGAGCTGCCCCTTCAGCATATTAGCAGTCTGGGGCACTCCTGCATAGGTCTGGAATGTTCTGACAGGGCCACTTTTATTCTGTGTATCTCATGTAAGTCCTACTCTTCCCACGGGAGATTTAGAGGCCTGCTGGTTAAGTGCCCGACTCGCCCGTCGCGTTTTGGAAGAAGGGTGTGGCCGGAGGTCTCCAAGGGACGTCACCCCAAAAGACCCTCTTTAGGCGTCGACTGCCCGATCTCCAGCTCGGATTTATCCCGCTTGCCCAGAGGCCCCTACAGGCACCTTCCTGCTCCCTCGGGATCCCCACAGGACACGGATTCTGAGGAGGAGGCCCATTTGCAGGAGTTGGCCTCGGAGCTCCTTTTTTCATTGCAAAAGCGAGATACCCATCAAGAGCTGCGACGGGACCATCCCACTTTCTTGGCGAGGAGGCGCCAGTATCAGTCTGACAGTTATGATTAGTATGTTTCTTCAGGCTTCCGCCTTTATTTTTTATTCTTTCCAGCACGGCTCGATGCGACTGTCCCTTCGGCAGGCATCCGTGCTTTACCCCACATCTGGGGCGAGGCCAGAGGCCGTCCTGGCGCTATTTTCACCAGGGGCTGAGGACCTCGTCGTCCTTGTGTGGGTGGTCGTCTTTGTTTATTTTGCTTTTATCGGCCTTGGGCCGTGGAGTTCTTCTTTATGCCTTTGCTCTACATCTGGGGCGAGGCAGTGTCGTCCAGGCGCATCCAGCACCTGGGACAGAGCCTCGTCGTCCTCGTGTGGGCTTATCTCTTCGTGTGCGTGCGCGTCGTTTCGCACGAGTGTCAGGCACCCCGTTTCAGGGGGAATGTGCGCGCACATCCTGAGTGCGATTCTATCGGAGCACGGGGATAGATCTATCACAACCGTCGCTCGAATTTGGCGCTTGCTGTGGCTAGGTAGCGTCGCTCCTGGCCCCAACGCCTGGGCCCTCCTTCAGCGTCGTGCGTCCGTCTCGTGGGTGTGCACGCACGTACGGCACGGGTATTTGGCACCTCTTCCTAGGAGTATGCGCGGCGCTCTCGAGGAGGCGTTTCTTTTCTCGGGGGCACGGGGACTGCTAGCCCCGTCGGTCTCCCGTCTTTTGTGGTGTTGCTGTGGACTGGAGTTCAGGCTCCTAGCCCCAACACCTCGCAGCCCAGCATCCTGGCTGATGTCCGCCCGTCCTCTTGTGCAGTCGAGGGCGGGCGGCTCGTGCTGTTTTTCCAGCTGCAGGATCCATGCGGTTGGCCTTGTACCCCTGCCTAACTCTGGCGGGGAGTCTTCTGCAGGCTGTCGCCGCCCCAGTCCCTGCAGGAAAACACTCTGGGGTTGAAACGAAAAAAAATCCTCCTCCTCCTCCTCCTCCTCCTCCTCCTCCTCCTCTTCCTCCTCCCTCCTCCTCCTCCTCCTCCTCCTCCTCCTCCTCCTCCTCCTCCTCCTCCTCCATCGCTGTGTGGGCCACTGCTGTCTGGGAAGTGCGGCTCCGAAGGCCCAGGTCCCCGCCGGCTTTCGAGGTTATCCTTCTTCAGGTCGCCGCCAGCGGGTGTGATGGATGGAATTCGAGCCTGTGGGCACGTGGCTGTTCCATGTTGTCCAGGCGCCGTGCCTTGGAGGGATTGTCTGTCGTCGCCTCTCACCTGCATGCAGGAAGCTGGGGGATCTTTACTATAGCATTATGCAGTTGAGGTGATGTGTGGTGCTAATGTACACACATAACCTTGCGTGTGGATGGGAGGGGCTGGTGCTACATGCTTCAACGCAAGAGAAATCAGACCAAGAGCTTGTCCACAGCTCGAGCGACCCAGGCTTCTGTTTTCAGCACTGATGTCCTGAGTGAATGTGTTGAGCATGATTATTCACCACCGGTGGCATCAACATGGATCAATGAGCCAAACAAACACCCCGTCAATATGTCAGCCACCTATCATAATAAGCAGTAAGAGAGGTTTTTGGACAGTATTGCCATCGCGTGGGTCCCAACGTTCTAACACTGGCCTGATCATTCAACAGCTGCTCGGTGTTGCATCATCGTACGCCTGGATATGCCAGCACTCGCGTTACACGTCGGAGGGGGTGCAACCGGAGAGTCGACATCGCTCGACGGTTTGTTGTGGCCATTTCCTCCTCACTCTTCGCGTCCTCATAATACCTCATACCCCGTATCGGTTGTTCGTTGCGCTGGTCACCGAGGCAGCACCTACCTTTTCTTGTCATCGTGGGCATCCTCGCCCTCCTCTTTCTCCTCCGGTTCGTCGTCGCCAGTCGCTTCTTCTTCATCCTCCTGATCCTCTCCCTAGAGCCCCCAGAACCCTTGATCCCCTGCGACCCGCAGAATTTTTGTAAGCGTCATGAATGCAGTCGTCCCTGCCCCTTTTCCTCCTCCTCATCATCCCTCCCCCCCTCCTCGTCCCGATTCTTCCCCCTCCCCCTTTCATCTTCCCCCTCCTCGTCGCACTGTCTCCTTCCTCCTCCTTCTCCACCTCCTCCTCATCCTCCTACCAGGGCGTGAACCCCTTACGACAAAAACGGATGTGCACCCCCGACGACGGGCGAACTCTCGAGGGAGGGGTCATCGCGAGCGGCGGCCGCCGCAGCAGACACGCTACGCGACGCAGGATGTCCAGAGGAGGGTGTTCAGAGGTGGGCCGTTTGAGACATTGGTACTTGGGCTTCGGGGGTTCCTCGTCGCCGCGGCTCGACGCAGCACGGAAAACTGGTGCGCTTGGACCCTGGGATGGGTCCAGTAAGGAGGAGGGGGTGACGAGACGGGGGAACAGAGGTGGGAAAGGAGGAGGAGGGATGCGAGGACGATAGGAGGATAGGAGGAGGACGGCGGGTGGGGATCAGAAGGATTGGGAGGGACGGAGGGAGCGGAGGAGACGGAAGAGTGAAAGGAGGAGTCTACACCACGAGCGCAAGCAGCGGGGACGGATCATGGCTTGATGCGTTTTCCCGTCGCTCGATTCCCGCAAACACAATCAGCGACGGCTCAGAGGAGGAGCAGGAGGAGGGGGCGAGGCGAGGCGGGATGATCGGGGGGATGGGGGGGGGTGGAAGCGAGGCGAGGAGGATAGAAGGGTGATGGTGGGGGGCGATGAGAAGGGCACCGAGGAGGACGAGGAGGGGTGGAGAAGTGGGAGGAAGAGGAAGGGGACGCGGGTGACCAGGAGAAGGGCATTGGGAGAGCGAGGGGGCGGAGGGGGGGAGAACGAGGACGGCAAGACGGACGAGGAGAGAGTGACGAGGAGAAGGGCGGGGAGAAGGGGCACGGGATGAACACGAGGAGTTTGCCAGCACCTCGCCGGGTCCACACCACGAGCGCCGGACGGATCCGAGCTTGAGATGCTTCCCCGTCGTGGGGCGCCCGCCACACACAGCCTGCGGATCCGGCCCGCGCAGGCGCGGCCCTCCGAAGCGGCGCATGGGGAGCAGAAGCCCTGCCCTCCGTTCTGCTGTGCTCCAGCAGCAGAACAAGAAGGGCACAGCAACAAAAGCAATAGCAGCGACACGCAGCAACAGCAAACAGCAACACTTCCCTTTCCGCGTCGCAGCGGGCGCAGCCATGGAAGCGAGAGGCTGGGGATCACGGCGCAGGCAAGGCGGCCCCGCAGGCGCAGAGCACGCACCCCACGGGCCAGTCTTCGGGCATGCGCCCTCGGGACCCCCGGAGTGATCCCCGCCGCCGGGCCCCCCAGGATGGTGCAGCTGGCTATGCACTGTCGGGGTCCCCCCAGCCACCCTCGGTGCTCCGGGGCCCGCCATCCACGGAGAGGGGGTGGGGATGAACAGGAGGAGGAGGAGGAGGAGGAGGAGGAAGAGGATCAGGGGTAAGGAGGAAGAGGAGGACATCAGTCATGAGGCAGAGGAGCAGGGAGGGACGATGAGAAGAGAAGGACGGCGAGCTCGGAAGAGGACGAAGGGGAAGAAGAGGATGAAAAGGCACAGGACAATGGGAGGAGGCAGGAAGAGAGCGGTGTCAGGGAGGAGGAGGAGGTGGAGGAGGAGAAGGAGGAGGAGGAGGAGAGTCGATGAAAAAGCGGGGGTGGGAAGAGGCAGGAATGAGAAGGTGGGGAAGAGAGTGGACTGAGGAGCGCCAGGAGGTGGGGGGAAGAGGACTATACAGTAAGAGGAGGGGCGAGGTGCAATGCAGGATAAGGATGGGGAGGGGGCGGGAGGGGGTGCGAAGGAGGAGGGTCAGCGCGCCGAAACGAAGTGAAGCCTCCATCCAGCATTGCACGCATTATTTACCATTGCGTCATTGCATATTTTCCTCATGTGCGCAAGGGATGGGAGGGACATCCTGCAAGACCCGATGTTTGGAGGAAAAGCCTGCAATTCTTCGACTTCCCAGATTGAGGACACATGCATATGTCTCTCTCCTACTCTGTGCGTGTGTGTCTCTTTCTCTCTCTCTCTCTCTATTTCTCTCTCTCTCTCTCTCTCTACCTCTCTCTCTCTCTCTCTCTCTCTCTCCCTCTCGGGAGCAGCTCTTTGAGACGGGATGGCGGGCGTGTCATTCGCCCCCTCCTTTGCCTGTTGTCACGGGGGTGACGATGTGTTTGCCATTGGCCGCGTGGCATCCGACCTATCACGCGGTCGGTCGCGCGGGGAAGTCGTGCCAGGACAGCGGATGCGGGCGTGTCGTGTCGAAGCGGGGTGGCCGTTGGTCTTAGCTTATGTTGAAGTGATGTTTGCATGCTTGCGCGTATGCTTACCAAGACCTTGGAGCATGCAAGCGCTTTGAAAAAGAGGTTGTTCTCCCCATGGCGAGTTCACTTATGGGCAGCATTTTCAGGCTGCCCCCTCGTGGTCAAATCGTATGTGTTTCTCGTGCTTGCTTATCCGTCGTAGGCCGTTCCTCCTCCGTCCTGCCCCTGAACTGGCGGTTGCAGAGTGATAAAGTCTGCAGAAGCCGCTTTGCCAGCACCGACCGGACAACGCCAAACAAACCAATTGAACACGCAATACATGCGTTACGAAGCTAGTCCGGAAAATCACAGATGCACCTGGTCTTATTAAGCTATATCAGTAGTAGAACACGTGTCAGCAGCAGGAGCAGCAATGCCAGCAATACGCGAGCATATTCAACGCGAACTTGACATTCTGGAGCACATGATGGTTCAGCGGTCGTTTGCTTCATGCCGAGAGTTTGCCTTTGTCGGGAGCCTAGCGGATTCATATGGTTAGGTGTCGTGTGTCACCGATTTCCGCGGCCCGCCTGGGTGCCCGTGTGCCCTGGTGCCTTATAGCCCTATAGCCCAATAGCCCTATAGCCCTAAAGTCCTACAGCCTTATCGCCCTATAGCTTTATAGCCCCATAGCCCAAAAGCTCGATAGCCCAATAGCCCAATAGCCCTATAGCCTTATAGCCTTATAGCCCTATTGCCCCGGAGCCCAATAGCCCTATAGTCCTATCGCCCTGTAGCCCTATAGCCCTACAGCTTTATAGCCCCATAGCCCTATAGACCTACAGCTCAATCGCTCTATTGCCCAATCGCCCTATTGCCCTATATCTCTATAACCCTATAGCCCTATAGCCTTATAGCCCTATCGCCCTAGAGCTCTGGAGCCCAATGGCCCTATAGCCCTATAGCCCTATATCCCTATAGTTTCATACCCCATATAGCCCCAGAATCCCATCGCCCTATAGCCCTATGGCCCCATAGCCCTATAGCCCCTAGAAAGACTTATGATTGGGGCTGTTGCTCTGGTCTGATTTCTATTTGCTCAAACCACGAAAAGTCACATGTTCCAGGTTGATTCTGCGACGGCCGAACTTGTACTTTAGATGAAATAAGCCCTTGGCACCTCCAAAGCTTGGACGTTGCGGGATGACGATGAGGACGAGAGGGGTGACGAGGAAGAGAAGGAGGAGATTGAGGCGACCATGCATCAGATGTAGAGGTGACGTGCCTGACGCGTGCGAGACGTTGGCTCGCGGGAGTGCGCGGATGCGTGCGAGCTGTGCGCGTTTGAAGAGTGTTGTGCCGCCAGCGTGGCAGGGTTCTGCGTGAAAGGGTTGTGAGAAGAAGGGCAGGAGGCAGGATGAGCAGCAGCAGGAGGAGGCCTTCGGAGGTTCTGGGCGGGCCGTCGTCGGAGGCTTTCGGAAGCTTTGCGAAGATGTCTGGAGTTGCTCCGGGGACGCCGCTCCTGCCGCTGCCAGGAGGGAGGCGAGCATGGGGCTCCTCCTCCTCCTCCTCCTCCTCCTCCTCCTCCTCCTCCTCTCCTCCTCCTCTCCTCCCCCCTCCTCTCCTCCCCCCTCCTCCTCCTCCTCCTCCTCCTCCTCCTTCTCCTCTTCCTCATCCTCCCTCCTCCTCCCTCCTCCTCCTCCTCCCTCCTCCTCCTCCTCCCCCTCCTCCTCCTCTCCTCCCCCTCCTCCTCCTCCTACTCCTCCTCTTCCTCCTCCTCCTCCACCTCCTCCTCCTCCTCCTCCTCCCCCTCCTCCCCCTCCGAGGGAGGGGGGAGGGCGAGCATTTGGGGCAGGGAGGACCGAGGGCGCGCAAACGTGGATCACGGCTGGTGGATTAGCGTCGGGTCCCATTTGCAGGCGAAGTCAATGGGTCGCCGTCGCCCAAACAGGCGGTACTGGCTGTATGCTTTGGGGTGTATTTGCCGAGATCCGTGGGGTCGCGACTGGGGCCCTGGACTCCATCTTTCCGCTGCATGTTCCGTCCTGGATCGATCTGTGAGGGTCCCAGCTGGGCGTTGCGTCACGGGGGACGAATCGGGGGCATCGAGGGCTGCAGGAAAAAAATGCCCTCTAGGGCCCCTGGGGGGGCCTTAGATGGCCCACAAGGGGGCCTCTAGGGCCCGAGAATTGCACGTCTCTTCCCCCCCATATACCGCCCCCCCGCCATGCGACGCCCAACCCAGGGCCTGCCGAAACCCCTGCGAGAGCGCCCAGTGTGATCGAAGAAGAAAAAACGCCATAAACATTAACTTTTGGCGCTCCGCGCGGATGCCTTGGATCCGCGCGGGGGCCCCCCCCAGCGGCGCCTCCAGCGCCGCTTCTGGCGCGCTCCGCGCTCCAGGGAGGGGGGCCCAGCGCAGATCCAAGAAATCCGTGCGCAGCGCCAGCAGTTCAATGTTTACGGCGCTTTTTTGTTTAAAATCTGTGTGAGCAGATCGCAGCGCCCCGATCCCAGGGCGCGCTCCAGGAGGGGCAGGCCGCCCCGTCGCCGTGCCCTCTGCGATGCGGGCTCGGCGGGGGAAGCGAGCCCGCGGGCCGGCGCGCGGCGGGGGGGGGCGCGCGCGCGCACTGGCGAGCGCTGGCCCATCGTCAGCCCCGGAAGGTCGGAGGAGGGAAAGGTGCCCACTGCTGATGTCTAAGTCTTTGAAAGTTCTTTGACCTTTTTTGGGGGGCCAGGATCCTTTCGTGTCTGCTTGTTCTATCCTGGGCCCCCTCCTGGCCACCTTGCAAGGGGGCCGGGCACAGCTAGAAACGAACACCACGAGACAGGAGCACGAGCAGAGGTGAACGACGTGTGCCCCTGCCACCGCTGCCCCTCGCTCGCCGAGAGGGGGCCACAGACAGGACCCCCCTGCGAGGGGCCGTGGCAGGGGTGGACCTACACGGTGTGTTGGCGATCTCGTGGGCCGTCTTCGTTTCCATGTCGTCTTGCAGGAGAGGCGAGTTCGAGGCAAAAGCGAGGAACAACGAAGACATAACGAAGACGGAAAGCACCGTTTAGGTTCAGCCCTGGGCCGTGGAGATCTTGCCCTCCTCCTCCTCCTCCTCCTCCTCCTCCTCCTCCTCTCCTCCTCCTCCTCCTCCTCCTCCTCCTCCTCCTCCTCCTCCTCCCCCTCCTCCTCCTCTCCTCTTCCTCCTCCTCCTCCTCCTCCCCCTCCTCCTCCTCCTCCCCCTCCTGCCCCTCCCCTCGAGGGCCGACGCTCCTGCGTCCTGCTCGCCCCCCCCCGGGCCGGGGGGGGCCCCCCTCTGCTGCCTGCCCTCCCCCGGGGGGGGTGGCGGTGTGGCCCCGCGCTGGGCCCGCCGTCCGGCCGCCGGCCGCCCGCCCCCCGCGTCGTGCCCCCCGAGTTCCGGAAGTCCGAGGATTACGTCGGGCCTGTCCCCCTACAGGGGGATTTTCGACGAACAAAAAAAAATACCTTAAAAAATAAGCCAAAAATAGTCCCAAAATAGTCTGGGGACTATTTTGGGACTATTTTTGTCCCTTTTGGGGTATGTTTGTGGTATGTTTTATTTTTCGACACTTTCTCAATAAAAAGTACACCAACAAAAATAATCCCAAAAATAATACGAATAAATAGTCTGGGGGCTATTTTTGGACTATTGTTGGCCCTTTTGGGGTATTTTGTTCTGGGTAGTTTTTATGTTTCGTCGAAAATCCCCCTGTTGGGGGACACGCCCGACAGAAGGTTACGAAATTTGCTGCATACAGCTGGTTTCGGCCTCACCGAGGAGCTCATTTCTCGATACATGGGCATGCCCATGTATCGAGGAATGGGCTCCCGGCGCCAAAGGTGTACCTCTGGCGCCGGGAGGCGCCGGGAAACTCAGCTACGTGAGCTGATTCTCACACCCCCCCTTTGCTATTCCCCCCTTTCGCCCGACCCGAGAAAGGTATTCATACAGTCGGCCCAGATTGGCAGGTCGACCCTGCCAGCGCAAGGGTGTCCTTGAGTCCTGTGCCTCTCGACGCGTGCCGTCTTGCACTCCGATGGCGATGCGGCCTTCGCAAGCGTCTTGTGTCCTCTCGCGTGTCCTCTCCAATCAGGTCCGACTGTACCGCTACCTTTCCAGTATCGTCCCCTCTTTGGGCCTCCTGGGAGGCCCTCGTCGCCACCGCTGGATTTGCCCCGGAATCCTGGTCAGGACGCGCCCCAGGAGAGGTCTGGGGGGCGGCGGTATTGATAGCTTTCGGTTTCCCCAGGATGGTGTTCATGCGATCGCAACAGGCCTTGCTGATAGGAACCTCGTCGTCAGTCACTTGTTGATCGATTGGTTGACTTCGGTAGCTAATCATGGGTCCTGGTACATCTTCTCAATTCCGTTTATAGCGTCGACTAGCGTCTGGGAGTCGACGAGATAACGATTGAGCGCCGACTTAGCGTCGGCTAGCGTTGGTCAGCGTCGATGTTGCCTCGCTTCAGCGTCGAGCAGCGTTGATTTAGCGTCGACGAGCGTCGATTCGCAGGAGCCGACAAGGTGGTATGGGAGGCTCCCATGAGTTTCCACCGAAGTTGATCGAACTATATACATATATATATATATACGCTCCTCTTCCAGGGGAGGGGCCCGGCCGCCCGCAGGAGTGCGGCCGCAGCTCGTGCAGCGGGGCCAGTCCTGTGGACTGCGAGTTTGGCGACTGGGAGCCGTGGGGCGAGTGCACCAAGTGCGCTGGGCAGCGCAAGCGCTTCCGGACAGGGGGGCGGGTGGTGGCATCTTCGCCGACACACCGCCGACGTCGGCGATTCATTGGCGATGCGGCGGGATCCTCCGACCCCATCTACTCGGACCCCATCCAGGAGGCCTCTATACATGGTCATGAAGGAGAGGACCTGAGGCAAGCGCGTCCTACGTTTCTTTCACGGTTTCCGGCCTTCAGGGGCCCTGCCTGGGCCCCGAGACCATCAGAATCCGACTTGGGATGAAGAGCCGGTCCTGGGGGACCCGTTTCCTATTGGGCCTGATCTGTTCATGCTGAACAGTCAACATCCAGTAATGAGGATGGACTGGCCTCAAGAACAATCATTCAGTGGCGAAGCGTCCTGGCTCGCCTATAGCCCTACCAAATAATGTTCTAAGAACCTTCTGTGGTCTCCACGAAATGTTCTTAGAACATTTCTGGCTGGGACTGTCTTGTTTTAGCACGTCGGGTTTATGTTCTGAGAGCACTGTTTTTGTTCTTAGAACAGTTTGGGGTTCTAAGAACATTCCGTGGTATGACTATATAGGAATGCCGTGACGGTCGGTCCCTGCTCAAAACAAGCATTTGTGCACCTTCTGTGGGACACCTTTAGCAGCCTCCTCCGCCCTCCTGCCCCCCCGCTCATCTTCCCACCCCCATCCCGTGGGAGGGGCGTTGCGCCCCTGAAGAAGTCAGCCACGCGCAGAGGGGGGTGGAGGAGGAGGAGGAGGAGGAGGAGGAGGAGGAGTGGAGGAGGGAGAGGGAGGAGGGCTTCTTAGAATCACCCCTGCTTCTTACAAGGCGCGGGCCTTATCTATAGATGTAAGGCCGGCGCCTTCTAAGAAGCAGCCTGCTTCTAAGAAGCCCTCCCCCCTCCCCCCACCTCCTTGTGCGCGCCGCCAAAGAAGGGCTCGGCATCCTTGTGCGTCCCCCCTGATTGCCGGGTCCGATTGCATGGCTGCGGCGTCGGGCGATCCGGCCATGGGCACTCGATGTACCTTTCAGGTAGGCGGAGGATGAGGATGCATCGCTCCGGAGCGATCCGGAACGCTCCAGGAGCACCCCGCCGCGCGCCGGGACGGCCGCAGCGCCTGCACGCGCACACGTGCCGGACCCGCCCGCTCTCGGAGACCTCCGATCTGTCCCGCCTGGCGTTGCCTCTGCCCTGCCGTGAAGTCGGGCCTGCCCTTCTACCGGGGGAAGATTCCCAAATAGTAGAGAATAGTCAGGGGACGACGTTTTAAGATCATTTCTGGAGCATTTGGGGGCATTCTGGGGGTATTTTTAGAATTTTTCGCCCAAAGTCCCCCTGTAGGGGGACAGGCCCGACCTAACCCTGCCGTCGTGTTGCGTGCAGGCGTGCCGGCCAGCCGGCGAGAGGGAACCCTCGGCCACCGCGTGCCGCGTGCCTGGGCTGCCTCGCCCGGGCCAGTGCCCAGCGCCCATGCGCAGCGCCTGCTCGAGGGGCGCGGGAGACGCAGAGAAGATTGCGGCCTTGGAAGCTCGAGGTCTGCTGTGTTGGGTGGGGCTACGGCCAAGAGCTGTTGGACAGCGTTGTGGAGGACGATCCATGGAGAGGAAGCATGTTGCCAAACAGTTTCCAGATGTCTGAATACATGTTTTAAACATGTCAAAACATGTTGAACACATGTTTGGAACATTGTTCCTACAAATGTTCAATTCAAGGATGGGACTGTTATGGTGCCCATTGTCGTGGCATCCGCAAGGACAGCGTGTCGCTCCGCCGGTTCGCGCCCACCACGTCTCGGCGCGATGCACTACTTCATTAGTGAATTTAATTGGTTTTTGGGTTTAACAAATGGTCGCAGCCACGCAGAGGGCGTGCGTAGCGACGCCCCAAATGCTCGGTCTCCAGTACTTCTACGTGGCGGCGCCCCCGCAGGCACGCAGAGGGCACGCGTGGCGACGGGGGCGTCGCCTCGCAGAGCTTCTGAAGACCACACATTTTGAAAACCAATTGTTTGCACTACTAAAGTAACTGCCTCCCAGTCCCAGACCTTCAACGTCCCGAGCCCGTCCCTGCCCCATCCGGTCCCGCGGAGCGGAGCGGCGCGCCACTCGCTCGCAAGGCACGGCGCGACGCTGGGGCTGTCGCGGCGACGCGCTGGGCAGAAGTCCCCGACCGTGGGACTTGGAGGCGTTAGTGGCGGATGCCGGGATGTCTCGGGGGGGGGGACAGGACCCCCCACCCTGACACGTCGACTAGTGGATTGTCCATCTTCGGTTCTCGAGAGGGTGCCGCGGCCGTTATGTTCCAGGCTTGCGCCCGCCAGGTTTGGACCCGAGGTCGTCTTCACTAAATCACGTTTTGCTACAGGGAGGTCTGGAGGGGCCTCGTACTTGTTTTTCCAGTTAGAAGCAGCGTAGCGGCAACTTGTGGCAGGTGGCCCCACGCAGGCAACTTAGCGGCAGTTTCGCGGCAATTTAGCGGCATCTATAGCGGCAGCTTAGCGGCAACAAGTGGCAGCCCGCCTTGGGGCGGAGTCGGAGTGCAGTTGGGCTGGTTGCCCCCCCCGCCCCCCGCGCAGCCTGCCGCTAGCCAATCGTGGCCGCTGGTTTCCGCGACTCGCCGCTTCAATTGGACCCCCATGGGTCCTCCGAGTACAGTCGGGGCCCTGAGGAAGGAAGCCTTTTCGTTGGGGAGGGGCTCCGCGTTCCTTAAATGTTTCACAGCTTGCCTCAGGCTTTCCTTATGTTTCCGACAGGAAATCGAAGGTTCACTTATGGGAAAAAGGGGCCTCGTTCCTTATTTAGGGTGCCTTAGGTCAACGCCCCGACTGTATCTCCACATCGGCCACATAATATGATACGCCGCTGCAGAGCATTCCGCAACGCTCCCAGAGCGTCGAGGAGCGCTCTGGAACGGCCGCCGCGCCCGGAGCTGCTGGATATCCGAGGTCCGCGACCTGTCTCGGCCTGAGTGCGTCTCGTTCTTAGCTTCATCCTACGATGGTCTCCGCCCAGCGAGAGCGGGCGAGGAGGAGACGAGGAGGGGGGTCGTACAGGGCTAGGACGGTCCTGACCCGATGTTGTCCTCGTCCTCGCTTCGTCTCAGGGGGAGGGGAAGGGCAGACTGCCAGCACGCCTTGCCTTTTCGGTCTCGCCAGCCTCTGCCACACGAGAGCTGGCGACCCCTACCCACCCCAAGTGTACCCCGTTCTCTGGCTCCGCCTCCGGGTATTCCTTCCTCCTGTTTTTCCTCCTCCTCCTCCTCTTCCTCCTCCTCTTCCTACTCTTCCTCCACAACCTCCTCCACCCCCTTTTCCCAGCACGCTCGATATTCTTCCCCTCCTACTCCCTCCTCCTCCTCCTCCTCCTCCTCCTCCTCCTCTTCCTCCTCCTCCTCCTCCTCTTCCTTCTCCCTATCGCTTCCTTCCAAATATCTCCTCCCTGTCGCATCCCGAGGCGTGTCGGTAGGGCGGCCTGGGCGTTTCGCTTGATGCGCCCTCACCGTTTATGATCCTTGAGCGGAGAGTGTGCACGAGCTTCACGGATGGAAGGTTGGCCGTCTTCAGCATGTGGCCATCGTTTCAGCGCCGCGCGCATTAGTTCTGCCAGCCTGGAACATATCCATATCCCCATGCTGGGCACCTCCTCATCACGATGCCAATATTAGGGATTCCTTTTTTTTTTGATGGCGAATCCCTAAGATTGTCATCGCCTGTTGGCGTGTCAATCTTAGGGATAGGGATACGTTCGAGGCTGGTAGTAGTTTTACGGACAGAAAATGGTTCTCGCCTTCGCGCCGCGGACATTTGTTTGAACAGTTGCAAGACCTTCATGGATGGAGAGCGGCTCATTTTCAGAATGGGACTCTCGCCTTGGCGCCGCGCAAATGCGTTTTGAAACAATTGCAAGAGTTTCACGGGTGGAGGGCGGACCCTTTTCAAAGTGTGGTTCTCGTTTTTTTTTGCGCCACGCACATCAGGTTAAACAGCTTGCAACAGTTTCGAGGACTCCCACGGATAACGCCACAGAAGTGGTGTTTTGGCACGATGTCGGACCGTCAGGGCGCAGCAGGTACGTTGACCCATGGCGTTGAAGTCTTAGGAACGGTGTGATGACACGATTCAGGGCCGTGAAGTCGCAACATTAAGGGTGATTCGCGGCGTTGAAGTCCCAGGAATGGTGTTCTGGCACAGATCAAGATTTTCAAACAGTTGTCTTCCAGCGGGGCACTTCCCTCAGTGAAAATGAATCCTTGTATGAGCCTATGACGAGGGAGTTTGGAGGGAGGGTTTATTGCAACATCGTTGATGCTTTCGTGGGTGTTTGCCTTGGTCCTCCTCCCCCTCCTCTTCCTCCTCCTCCCCCTCCTCCTCCTCCTCCTCCTCCTCCTCCCTCCTCCTCCTCCTCCTCCTCCTCCTCCTCCTCCTCCTCCTCCTCCCCCTCCTCTTCTCTCTTCCTCCTCCTCCTCCTCCTCCTCCTCCCCTCCTCCTCTTCTCTCTTCCTCCTCTCCCCCCCGCCCACCGCCCGCTCCCCCCCCCGCCCCTCTTTTCCCGTTCCCCCGACTCCTCCCCCACGTCCGTGGCTATTTCTGCCCGAGCTGCCTCCCCCTCCTCCTCCTCCTCCTCCTCCTCCTCCTCCTCCTCCTCCTCCTCCTCCTCCTCCTCCTCCTCCTCCTCCTCCTCCCTCCTCCTCCTCCTCCTCCTCCTCCTCCCCCTCCTCCTCCTCCTCCCCCCCTCCTCCTCCTCCTCCCCCTCCTCCTCTTCTCTCTTCCTCCTCTCCCCCCCGCCCACCGCCCGCTCCTCCTCCCCCGCCCCTTTTTTCCCGTTCCCCCGACTCCTCCCCCACGTCCGTGGCTATTTCTGCCCGAGCTGCCTCCCCCTCCTCCCCAGGACTCGTTTCGATTCCCTCGAGTCGATTCGATTCGACTTCGATGGCTTCCGATTCCGATTCGATTCGATTTGGGATTCCGATTTGGGCGCCGACTTCTCACTGGAGGCCTACTAGCCTGCCGATTTCCGCCGATTCGACTTTTCCCGACTCGG